CAAGAAATGTCCACTTTGATATTTATCCTAGTAAATCTAATAAAACTTGAAACTGGGCATGGTGGTGCATGTCTGTAATCTCAGCAGTTCTGGAGGCTGAGGCAGGAGGATTGCAAGTTCCAGGCAGGCCAGCCTCAGCAATTTAGTGGGGCCTAAGCATCTTAAGACCCTGTCTCAAAATAAAATATTAACAAAGGGCTGTGGGTGGATGTGCCTCAGTGGTTAAGTGCCCCTGGGTTCAATCCCCAGTACCAAATAAATAAATTAAATAAAAATAAATAAATAAAACAAAACAACAAAAAACCAAAGAGCTACTCTTTGCTAAGGGGGTGGAAAGTTCAACCTCAGGCAGGTTTGGAGACCTCTGCCTTTGGCGGAATTGTAATCTGGGGTTTACAGGGTACCTGGAGGATGGGGGAGCTTCCTATCTCCTGCCCACCAAGGCTGCTGCTGGAAGGCTCACTGTCGCAGCCTGAAGTGCTCCGTGCTGTGGCCTCTCTCCTGGGCCAAGGTTTGGGGATTGTGCCACACCACTGTGCCTCACTCCAAACCCACGGTAACAAAGTATGACAAACCAGGTGGCCCAGGCAATCCAAATGCTTTGCACAGTGCTGAAGGCCAAGCATCCCAAATCAAGGTGTCCGCAGGCTTTGTTCTTTCTGGAGGCCGTGAGAGGACAGGTCCCATGCTATTCTCTCAGCTCCTGGCGGTTGGCTGGCGGACAACATGGGCTACCATCCTTGACTTGTAGACCTCTACCTTTGTCCCTGCACAGCAATCTCCCTGGGCAGGTCTGTGTCTTGAGTTTTCCCTTCTTCTGCAGGCCCCTGTCGTATTGAACCTAGGTCCCAAAGACCACACCTTAACTATGTCTTCAACAACCCGTTTCCCAGTAAGGCCGCATTCTGAGGGACTTGGGGTTGGGAGGAAGGAACACAATTCAGCACATGCTCTGTGACACTGCAACCGGAGTTCCACCAGCCCCACATCAGCCCCATTTCTCCCTGGGTTGCTGCTTCCTGCCTGGCCCTGTCCAGGGGGGCGGGGCTCTAGGAAGGCCTGTGTTGGGCCCTGCCTTCCCCTGCACACTGCTCACCCAGCTTCCCCCAGACACCTGCCATTCCAGTGGAATCCAGTTCCTCTGTTTTCTGACCCTTGCAGAACCCACTCCTGAGCCCAAAGAGACACCAGCACCAGCCAGCAGGTGCCCTCTCCTCAGCCCCCTGGGCTTTTTATCCAAGTTTATTTGTTTTAATGAAATTCCAGCATTTGCTTTGGTCTCCTGGCCCTGGGCTAGTGACCGCTTCTTGTCTTTGTTATCTTTATGACACCTTAGAATGCTTTGTTCTACATTTTCAGTTATCTAGTTCCTTCTAGCAATATGACATGTCTAACTTTATACCTAGCTAATTCTTTTTTCCCCCCAGTACTGCAGATTGAATTTAGGGATACTATTAACCACTGAGCTACATCCCTAACACCTTGTAATTAATTGATCAGTTAATTTGGTACTGAGGATTGAAACCAGGGGAGCTAACTTCTGAGTGAAATGCCTAACCTTTTAATTTTTTAAAAAAAATTTTAACTATTTAATTTATTTATTTACTTATTTGGTACTGAGGATTAAACCCAAGCGCGCTTAACCACACTGAGCCACAACGTCAGCCCTTTTTTTAAAAATGTTATCTTGAGACAGGACCTCACTCAATTGCTTAGGGTCTCACTCAATTGCTGAGGCTGGCTTTGAACTCACAATCCTCCTGTTGTTGTTTTTGGCTGTCAAAATTCGCAGTCTCAGGCTGGGGTTGTAGCTCAGTGGCAGAGCACTTGCCCAGCATGTGTGAGGCCCTAAGTTGGATCCACAGCACCACATAAAAATAAATAAATAAAATAAAGGTATTGTGTCCATCTACAACTAAAAATATATATTTTTTAAATTCACAGTCTCCTACTGGTGGAAAAATAGCATTGTGATAAAATGTCCAAATGATTTTCAGATAAACTTGAATGAGATTAAAATTGTTCTGGGAAATCAGTTACCCAACCACTCAACCAGCTGCTGTTGGTCAGAAGCCCAGTGACTTCTGGCCTAACGATGGCTCTCTAACAGTTTTCTTTTGCTGTAAAATATCTCTTCCAAAAGCAATCTTAGAAATGGCCCACCAGGGGCCTTCTTTGCATGCAAGATTACAATAAGACTTCCACGTGCTCAGAACTAAACAAACAGCAGTGGTTCCTCAAGTAGCAGGCAGTAAGTGCAGGTATCCTTTCAAGAAACTCATTTTGCTGAAGCCTACTCACAAGGAGCAGAAGGCATAGACCTCCAGGGGAATCACAGCATGCCCTCTCATCCATGAGACAGAGAGGTGAGAAACAGATTGGTCAGATTGTGTGTTGAAGGATTCCATGAGAAGCAAGAATCAGTTGTGCAGTGGCTGTTGTTTCTGGGATTGCCAAGTACCATGGGGCACACCCAGAGCTCAGGAGGCCGAGGCAGGAGGATCGCAAGTTCAGGGCCAGCCTCAGCAATTTAGCAAGGCCCTCAGCAATTTAGTGAGACCCTGTCTCAAAATTAAAAAATAAAAAAAAAGGAACCAAGGATGTAGCTTTGTTATGCTCGAATTCGGGACCCCAAAAGACCACCAGAGACCAAGAACGATGTAAACAGCAAAGAGGTGTTTATTGCGAGCTAGCTCCGTCCTCCGCTCACACACAGCAACTGGTGACGCTGAGAGGCCCCGAGCCCCCCGCCCAGGGTTTGCAGCAGTTCTGTACACTCTTTGTGGAAGGAAGGTATCCCACATACATCACAGCATCTCTTAGCAAATCATTACACACCGCGGGAAAACCAAATAACAACTCTAAAACATGATTTGCACATTCACTGGCGGGAACAAGTTGGGTAGGGGTGATTGGTTAGTACAAGAGGGGTAGTAACCAATTTGAACTGATTGGCTTAAGCCAAGAGGGGTGTACGTGCTGAACTACATGGTTTCCCAACACATTATCAACCACCATAAACTACTGGGAGGGTCATCTGGCATCCCAGGTATTTCCTTGTCTCATGTCTTCTCTGATATAAGGGGGGTGACTCAAAATGGGGTTGGGAGGGAGAGCAAGGGAGGAAGATTACCTCTAGATAGGGAATAGGGGTGGGAGGGAAAGGGAGGGAGAAGGGGAATAGCATGGATGGTGAAAGGAGACCCTCATCACTATACAAAATACATGTATGAAGATGTGGATTTGGTGTCAACATACCTTATATATAATCAGAGATATGATAAATTATGGTATAATAGTGTATTAAGAATTGTAATGCAAAAACAAACAAACAAACAAACAAATAAATAAAAGATATATCCACAGAGTTCAAAACTTAGCATTTTTTTTTTGGTACTGGAGGTTGAACCCTGTGCCAAGTTACCACTGAGCCATATCCCCAGACTTTTTTTATTTTTATTTTAAGACAGAGTCTTGCTAAGTTTTTGAGAGTCTTGCCAAATTTCTGGGGCTAGCCCCAAACTTGTGATCTTTTTGCTTTAGGTTCCTGAGTCACTGGAATTACAGGCATGTGCTACTGTTCCAGGAAAATATTGGGACTTAATGGGTTAATATAAATTGTTTGTGTGCTGTGCTATGAATTGAACCCAGGGATGCCCTACTACTGAGCTGTCCCCATCCCTTTTTAAAAATTATTTGTTTTCAAGATAGGGTCTCATTAAATTGCCCAGGCTAGCTTTGAATTTGAATCCTCAGCTGCGTCAGTCTTTCAGGTCACTGGGACTATAGGTTTGTGCCACCACACCTGGCTAAAAAATGTATTTCTTATTATAAGTCAAAGCTTCTAAAAAATTGAAAACCACAACCTGGTAAACTGTTTACAAATCTTTTAGATGGTACACATAACAAATAATTAATTGTTCAGTAAAGTTGATAATGATGTGGCCAGATACAGTGGCACACACCTGTAATCTCAGCAACTTGGGAGGCTGAGGCAGGAGGATCACGGGTTCAGGACCAGTCTCAGTAACTCAGTGAGGCCCTAAGCCACTTAGTGAGACCCTGTCTCAAAATAAAAACGGCTGGGGATGTGATTTAGTGGCTAAACACCCCTGGGTTCAATCCCTGGTACCAAAAACAAACAAACAAAAAATAACAACAATAAAAATGATGTTGGTTTGGCTCACTGGACAACCAGATGAAGCTTCTTGGGAGTCAAAAGGGGGGCCTGTTCAGGGGCTCAGGCACCCTAGGCCCTGTCTGGTTGGGATCTGGGAATGCCAGCACCCCTCCTCAGCACACATTCAGAGGCTCCAGTCTGGAAAACAGAAGCACTTATAGCACAGTGAGAAAAGATGATTTTGCTACTTGCATGAAACAAGCTCTGTGGGGTAGAAGGCAGCACAGAAGTCCAGCTCTGAGGCCTGGACCCAACTGCTTCTTGCTGCTGACTTGGTTCAGCAATGAAGTGTCATTGTGGACCTCTGCATACTGGAAATGACCAGCCCTGACAATGTGTTCACATGATCATGTTTTTATAAAACTTGCAAAGGTTGGGCTTTTTAGCCGGAATTGGTCAAGCCTGCTATCTTTCTGCACTGTGACTTCCTCTTCATGACATTTTCCCTCCTGTCAGGGCCTCAGTGTGGCCTTATGAATATATATATATATATATATTTTTTATATATTATTTTTTTTTTTTTTTTTTTTTTCCTTAAAGAGAGTTGGCAAAATTGTATAAGCTTCAGACCCCACAAAACTCAGATTGGCCTCTACCTCCATGTTTGGCAAGAGGGTCGGAGTTGGGGTGGGGCTGGACAGTTGACCTCAACAGTCGTCAACTTCCAATACATGGTTCTCAGAGCAGTCATTACTGAATGCTGGTGGGTACATCTTCTCTTTCTTTTTGAAATTTACTATTATTATTTTAAGTTGTAAACCAAAAAAACATAAATGAGGTTGAAATTAAAAAGTCAAAGACAATTTTATTCAGGTGGAGAATAGATTTGCAAATCAGGAAAATGCAGGCTCAGTTAGACCAAACCAGTGTCTACAGAAGAACAGATGGCTTGGGCTTTTATCAAGTCCAGCAGTTGGAAACTGATGCAAATAAGGATGGTGTTTCTCAAACCTTGCAAGGTATTGTTAGATTCTGGAAAATATTTCCCTCTGGCTGACTCAGGTCCTGACACAATGTCTGCATGGCAGACAGTCTTCCTCCTGCCAAAAATCTCCAAGGCACAGGAAAGGGTTTTGCTCTCTCTTAAAAAACAAAAAAACAAAACAACAACAACAACAAAAACCTGCAGTCATTTGACTTTTATCAAAGTGAACATAGGAAAAAAATAAAACAGAACAATGAATACAATGCACCCTGAGTCACCAACCCACTCTAAAATTTCAGACCCTTGTCTCAAAAGAATAATACTACAATTTCTGGTAGGTCTTTCCAGAAATTATATACCTATATTCCATATTCAAATGGAAACATATATCCTTCTGTATTTAATAGACTTGGACAATCTTTCAATATCAACATGCAGAGTTTGTCTTATTATTATTATTCTGAGGGGGGCACTAGGTACTGAATTCAGGGTGCTTCACCACTGAGCCACATCCCCAGCCCTTTTTTTAAAATATTATATTTGTTGTTGAGGGACCTTTATTTATTTATATGTGGTGCTGAGAATGGAACCCAACGCCTCCCACATGCTAGGCAAGTGTTCTACCACTGAGCCACAACCCCATCCCCTGTTCTTTAAAAAAAAATTTTTTTTTAAATTGTGAGACAGGGTCTCACTTAATTGCTTAGTGCCTCACTAAGTTGTGGAGGCTGGTTTTGAACTTGTGATTCTCCTGACTCAGTCTCCAAAGTCGCTGTGATTACAGGTGTGCACCACCACTCCCAGCTTGACTTCCTATTTTTAAGCACTGCATAGATTGCATGTTCCCAGATTAATCTAACCACTTGGGGTGATTTCACCATGACCATCCTTAATTCACCACACTGTCCTGCAAGGCCCAACCTGGTCTTCTTGTGCAGGACTTCACCATGATCTTTGCTAATGCGACAGTTTTTATTCCTTTCTATGGAACTGTGAAGAGCGGGTGGTGCCTTGCTCTGTTGTAGACTTCAAGAGTGCATAGCCATTTGTTACTCTATGTTACAAAGCAACAGTTTGCCATGAGCTACCCCATTTTGAGTACAAGTACCAAAGGAAAATGGCTGGGTAACTTGTCTGGGCAAGATAGCCACCAGATATTGAATATACTGAAGTCATTGAAAGAATAACCCCCAGCTGCCCAGCACAATCAGAAGACATAAATTAGCTGGGTGCAGTGGTGCACACTTGCAATCCCTGTGACTTTGGGAGGTTGAAGCAGAAGGATTGCAAATTCAAGCCAACCTCAGAAACTTAGCAAGAACCTGTCTCAAAATAAAAATTAAAAGCACTGGGGATGTAACCCAGTGGTAAAGTGCTCCTGGGCTACATGCCCAATACAAAAAAAAGTGAAAAAGAAAAAATCCTAAACTGAAGCTGGAAGTGGTGACACACGCCTGTAATCCCAGCGACTTGAGAGGCTGAGGCAGGAGGATCTTTAGTTCAAAGCCAGCCTCAGCAAAAACGAAGTGCTAACTTCATTCAACTTAGTGAGACCCTGTCTCTAATAAAATACAAAATAGGGCTGGGGATGTGGCTCAGAGGTTGAGCTCCCATGAGTTCAGTCCCAGGTACCCCGGCCCCCCAAAGGGCCTAAACTTATCAATCTTGCCAATAAAAAAAATTGCTCACCTGAAAACTTATCAAATTAAATCAGAAGGACATGGATGCTTGGAGTTTCCAAATCCACCTCAGATAAATCAGGCCCACAAACTCACCAGTCTCCCAAGAGGTAACCCCCTCACCTGAATCAGGTGAAAGAAGCAGCACCTATTACAGTGGGATACCACACATCCACCGGTCATCAGACCATTTGGTGAATGGTCACCAGACCTACAGTCAACCTCCCTGTACTGCTCCTTCTCCCTCATCCATGTGGCCATACTTGCAAACAGCCTGCTGTCTGGACCCTAGTCTAAACTCTGGGCCTTCAGAACTCTGTGCTCTGAACAAGTTCGGTGGGTTCCCATCCCCTGCAGGGGCTGTTTTGCGTTTGCATCTGTTCTCTGACTTTGTTCTTGGTGGGCCTCTTGTAACCCCATGGCAGCCTTAACCTTTCTTAGCTTTTCTGTACTTTTATCATGGTGATATTTTGTTTCTAGTTCAGTGATTCTAGAACTCTTTTTTTCTTAAATATTTTTTTTAGTTATTGATGGACCTTTATTTTATTCATTTATTTTTATGTGGTGCTGAGAATTGAACCCAGTGCCTCACACATGCTAGGCAAGTGCTCTACCACTGAGCCACAACTCCAGCCCTCTAGAACTCTTTTTAAAAATATATTTTTATTAAATATTTATGTTTTTTAGGTGTAGATTGTCACAACACAATGCCTTTATTTTTATGTGGTGCTGAGGATCCAACCTGGGTCCCGCCCGTGCTAGGCGAGCGCTCTAGGAGCCACAATTCCAGCCCTAGAACTTTTTAATGGGACTTCTCACTTGAGCAGAAGGGAGACACAAGGCTGACCAAGAAGGCTGAGCTGAGTAAAAGAGAATATTCGTTTTTTCTTTTCTTTTTTCTTTCTTTCTTTCTTTTCTTTTTTTTTTTTTTTTTTTGTTGTTGGTACTATTTAGTGACAAGGTCTCACTGAGTTGCTTAGCACCTCGCTTTTGCTGCGGCTGGCTTTGAACTCGAAATCTTCCTGCCTCAGCCTGGGATTACAGCGAGCACCCACCACCATGCCCAACCAAGAGAGTTTTCTTTAAGTGAAAAGGCTATTTATAATGGGGACTAAGGTTTAGGAATGTTAATTGGAACATTTCAAAAAAGGTTTTCTTTACCTGGTGAGCACTTCAACCCTGATGGAGGGGTAGGTAACTGATCATCCAGGGGCCAAATATTTACATCTAATATAGATGTTACATGTCACATCTTGTATAAATGTTTCTTTTTTGGGGGGTGGGGGGTGGGGGGATACTAGGGACTGAATCCAGGGGCATTTTATCCCTAAACTACATCCGGGTTCCATTCAGTCTTATTTTTTGAGCCAGAGTCTCTAAGTTGCTCAAGTTGGCCTTGGACTTGTGGATCCCTCAACCTCCGGAATAGCGAGTAGCGGGGTTACACGTGTGTACCACTATGCCTGGCTTTGAATTTGATATTCAATAAATTTTGACTTCGTGGAACAAACCCAACGGGACTATGTTAATGACTTGCTGACAGTATCTCCCTTAAAAGCTAAGTCTCGCAGATGCTGCCACATGTTGGGAAATCAGTTCACTTAAAAATCAAACCCTGGGGGCTGGGGATGTGGCTCAAGCGGTAGCGCGCTCGCCTGGCATGCATGCGGCCCCGGTTGGATCCTCAGCACCACATACAAACAAAGATGTTGTGTCCGGCGAAACCTAAAAAATAAAATATTAAAAAAAAAAAAATCAAACCCTGGGGGCTCGGTGGTAGAGCACTTTTGCCTAGCGTTTAGGAGGCACTGGGTTCGATTCTCAGCACCACATATAAATAAATAAATTAAAGGTCCACTGACAACCAAAAAAAAATTTTAAAAATCAAACTCTGATCCTTTGATACACTAGAACAGCCACTAGTGGACCTGAAGACCCTCATAATCTCCCCCCAAAGACTGACCAAAGACTGACTTGGAGGTGGAGGGAGTTTGGAGAACTACAGAGGCAGTGGAAGCGCCCAGTGCTGAATCATGAGCTAATATGAGTCAGCTCAATTTTGAAAGTCATATTATCTGGCTCCGGTCTAGCAGGGTGCCAGGTTCCATTCAGTAAATCTTGCAGGGATGCCAGGCAGCAAAGCTGGAACATTCTAAAGCCAGCAGCGCCACTGCGAGGCCAGCTGCAATGGAGGCGGAGGTAGGCGGGCACCCGCTCTACGCGGCAGGCCGGGCCTCGGGTGCAGCCTCCGCTCCCCAAGAAATTCTCACACCTCGGAGAGTCTGGATTTGGGTGGATTCAGGGGTGGCAGTTTGTGCTGACTCCATTAGCCCAATATGCCCTGGAAGGGGCTGGGTCTTCCGTTTATCTGTAGGGCTGCATCCACTAGCCATGTCCTGGGCAGAGCCGCACACAAAGTGCCCCCAAAACGTCCGTGAGTGAACGAAGGCGCCTCACTGAGGGACTGTTCAGGGTTGCAAACACCACATGGTACATTCTGCCGGTGTAGGCTTCATGAACGCGAGCCCAGTCTTTAGAATTAAGACCAATGCAAGGAGACAAACTACTGACAGCCACCCTTCTAAGGAGGCGGGGTAGGGAGCACAGCGGCTGATGGTTATGCAAATAATGGAGTCCAGCCGGGCCTCAGGTCTCGAAGACTACAAGTTCCAGAATGCCTCTCCGGCCCCAACGTAGGGAGAGATCGAGGCTGGGAGAGCATTGCCTGCTGGGAATCGTAGTGTTGGGCTTGTTTGTGATGCAGGAGTTACTAGTGGGGAGGGGGAAAGGTAGTACACTGTTACCACGTGACAGTCGGGCTCATGTGGTTGGTCCAGCCTCCGCTCGGGAGCTGTGATTGGCTGGATCTAATACGAACGACGCCACTAGGGGCGGGCCACAGAGGGGCGCAGGCGCATTGCGTTGCGAGTCTCGGGACCCCTCTCGGAGAGACTATGGCGCTCAACAAGAACCACTCGGAGGGCGGCGGAGTGATCGTCAACAACACTGAGAGGTGAGAACACTGCGGAAGGATCCTGGAGAACCGAAGGACGGGTGTCCAGGCGGTGGGCGGTGGGCGGTGGGCGTTGGGCGGTGAGGAATAAATCCTGGAGGAGAGAAATTGATGGAGCGCGGTGGGGGGATAACGGCCGGGGGCGGGGCTGCTGCTATCCGCGGGGGGGGGGGGGGGGGGGGGGGGCGGGGGGAGGGGGACGGGGTTTGGGGCAAACAGTGGGGCCTAGAGGCGCTGCTTGAGCCTTTTGCTGAGAGGCGCCTTAAAAAAATAATTGCTGTTTATCAGGCGTTTACTGTGTTGCTACTACGCGGCAGCCACTTCGCCTCTTCTGAAATACATAAATCTTGTGCGGTAGGTACTATTATACACACGTTACAGGTAGGAAAATACAGACCCAGGGAGATTAAATAACTTGACCTAGATTTGAAGTCTGAATAACAGATGGGAATTCCAAAAAAGAGGTCTTGACCCCGGTGTCAGTAGGCTTAACAGTAAACACCCTTTGAGTGTATTCCAAGACAGCTCAGGTTTCAAGTGAAAAATCTCAGACCCCACAGGTAAAATTAAACAGGTAACGTTTGTCAACTGCCTAACAGTTGCTGGTGTGAGTCTGAGCCCTTGTAAGGGTTAGTCTCTTTTTTTAAAATATAGTTGATACTTTTTTTTTTTTTTTTTTGCTTCTTTATTTTTTTTTTTAAGAGAGAGTGAGAGAATTTTAATATTTATTTTTTAGTATTTGGAGGACACAACATCTTTGTTTGTATGTGGTGCTGAGGATCGAACCCGGGCCGCACGCATGCCAAGCGAGCGCGCTACCGCTTGAGCCACATCCCCAGCCCAATATAGTTGATACTTTTAATCTCATTTTATTATTAGTTACTGGTTCTGTCTCTTTTATTTATTTTTTAAATTTTATTTATTTTTTATTTTATTTATTTTTTATATGTGGCACTGAGAATTGAACCCGGTGCCTGCTGAACACGATGCCTCACATATGGTAGGCAAGCGCTCTACCGCTGAGCTACGACCCCACCCCAGGCTCTTTCCTCTTGAATGCTTTTGGCTAATATCACTCCACAGAGCAGAGGTTCTCTGAACTTCAGGGTTCTTTCTGATCTACCCTCCTCACCACTTCCCGATGCATTCTCTCTCTCTTCTAATTCCTGGGCTGCTGCTTGAAGGTAGAAGAGCTTAGGAGGAAAAGCTGAGTCTACAAGGGAAACAGGCTGGAGCCAGAGCCTTCACCCCAGCTAAGGCCATTGCCTAGACTGGGACCTGTCACTTAGGAAGACTTGAAGAGTCAGATGAGAAGGCTCAGGGTGACCTCAGACCTCAGAATGCAGACTTTCTCTCCATGTTACCCTCTTTAGGGTCTGATGTTCTTGGTGAATACTTCTCTTATTGTGCCAGTTCTCTTCCCATTTACTCCTTTCTGGTCAAGAAAGTTCTGATATTTGGGAGAAGGAAGACAATGGAATGGGTGAACTTGGACCTTTTGATCATGTAATCTGAGAAACCTCACAGTGCTCACTGGTTTATTGTGATTCTGAATGTGAACCAGTTCCTGGGCCTGCACACTTTTGATTCCATTTAGTAACATCTACCAAGCCTGTTTTTCTTAGTGTGACTTCTTTTTTTTGGTGGTACTGAAGAGTGAACCCAGGGGCACTTTCCACTGAACTATCCCAGCCCTTTTTTTTTTTTTTTTAATACAGGTTCTCCTTAAGTTGCCCAGGCTAGCCTCCAACTTGTGATCCTTATGCCTCAACCTCCCCAGCAGAGGGGTTTCTGGCATGTGTCACCCTTCACAGCTTAGTGGATGTTCCTTGTTTTGGAAAGCACTTCAGCATCATTTCTGGAAAAAAAAAAAAGCATCTACTGAGGGTGCTGACACACATCTGTAATTCCAGCAATCCAGGACTAGGGATGAGCTCAGTGGTAGAATGCCCATAGATTCAATCCCTAGTATCAAATAAATAAGTCTATAATAATTGAAGTTTAAATACAGTGTTTAAAATTTAATATTTAAAATGGCAAACTTTGCCTGGTGCAGTGGTGCATACCTGTAGTCCCAGCTACATGGTAGGCTGAGGCAGGAGGATCACAAGTCCAAGATCAGCCTGGGCAACTTAGCAAGACCCTATTTCAAAATAAAAAATAGAAAGGGCTGGGGTGTAACTCAGTGGTAAAGCATCCCTGAGTTCACTCCCCAATATCCCCCCCTACACATACACACACAATGGTGAACTTCATTTTTTTGTGATGCTGGGGATTGAACCCAGGACTTCATGGTAAATTTTATTTTTTAATTCATGAACCGAAAGCTGTGAAATGTCCTAGAAAAATGCACACACACCATCTTTTCAAGAACTCATGGACCAGCATCCCTGCTGACCTAGCTTAAGAAGCCCCTATGTATGGGAGCCCTGGAGAAAGCAATGTATGGAGTCATGTCTTAGAGTCTTAAATGTGTTCATTTATTAGGCTTAAAAAGCCAACAAAGCTGGGCATGGTAGTGCATACCTGTAATCCCAGCTGCTTGGGAGGCTGAGGCAGGAGGATCGTGAGTTCAAAGCCAGCCTCATTAATGGCAAGGCGCTAAGCAATTCAAATGAGACCCTGACTCTAAGTAAAATAAGAAATAGGGCTGGGGATGTGGCTCAATGGTTGAGTGTCCCTGAGTTCAATCCCCAATACCCCCCAAACAAACAAACAAAATAATAAAAATAGAACATCTATCACAGGACTTAAAACAGCACCTTGAAGGATGAGCCCTGCAGTTCTGCTATTGTGCTGGTCACTTGGGTTCTGTATGAGTGGGGTTTGGGAAAATTCTGTGGACCCAAACTTGCTCAACTCTTCCACGGCTGTCTTATGATTTCTTTGCAGCCATGTTGGAATGTGCTGGGCAACCTCACCCAGTGTCTGGGGGTAACAGATGACATCTCCAACTATCTCATTAGAGCCTCTCTTCTTTTCTTATCACAGCATCCTAATGTCCTATGATCATGTGGAACTTACATTTAATGACATGAAGAATGTTCCAGAGGCTTTCAAAGGGACCAAGAAGGGCACTGTTTACCTTACCCCTTACCGGGTGAGTTGCACAGCAGGACAGTTGGATTGGAGGCTGATTGCATTTGGAGGGTGACATGTGTCTTAGCCTCTGCCTTGTGAGTCAGCTGACCTCTGAACCCTGATGAACATTGGTGCCTTGTTCCTCCTGTTTCTCTTGTCACATGCTCCTGGATTCTAGAATCACCTGACTCTGTGCAGCTGAACTACTGGGCTGTGAATTCATGCAGATTCCAGAGCCACTGTCAGAAAAATCTGTCTAGGGTTGGATGCAGCTGCTGGGATGACTTGGGCCTAGAGTAGCCTGAGGCCTGTGTGTGTATCCAGAGGGATAGATGTGGTAAACAGGATACAGTAGCATGGCCACAACTTTCCAGACTGGGCACTAAGCCCAGCAGAACCCTGCAGAGAGAAATGCCAGACAACAGAATGGGCCCAGCCTGCATTCACCATACAGACTCCGAGGGTAACACAAAACGTGTAGTCTCAGAAAAAAGTCACTGCCTGTAGCTAGCTACTAGTGAGACTTCAAGAAGGCTGGAGGAAGGGGAACACATCTTTAGGTGTCTGTCACCATAATTTACATAGGTAGGGACTCAAAACCCCATCTCTGGAAACTCAATTGATACCTTCAGTTAAATTGAATATACCTGGTGGTTTTGAAACCCAAGGGGTTCTTCAGGCACAGGACAGGAGAGCTCTTGTTGCCATTGGGCAGAGTGTCATCTGCAGGAAGGTCACAAAGGCCCTTTCTCCAGAGCTCTGATGCCCTGCCATTCCATCGTTCTCTAAAAGGCCAGGCCAAGCCTCCCCTGTCCAGGCCCCTGCCTTCCTGTCCCTGCCTATGCTTCCCCAGCTTTGGAGGTCCTTTCACGTCTGCACCATGTCTGCCATCTTTTCTCTTACTTAACTGAAGCAGTTTGTCCAGTTCACATATTCTGTCTGTGATTGGGACATTGTTCTTGTGACTTCCACGTCTGGCCTCTCCAGGGTGCATGTGACTCTGTCCAGAAGCGTCTGGTGCAAAGAGAGCCCTGAGCCTGCTGGGCCTGGCATGGGCACCAGCTCCCAACTAGGAATAGATTCCACACACAGGAAGCAGGTGGGAAACAATGGCCTAGCAGGCTGCAGTTCCAGCACTAATGGCCCTTGTCCTTTCCCACCACAGGTCATCTTTCTGTCCAAGGGGAAGGATGCCATGCAGTCCTTCATGATGCCATTTTATCTCATGAAGGACTGTGAGATCAAACAGCCTGTGTTTGGTGCAAACTACATCAAGGGGATGGTGAAGGCTGAAGCAGGAGGTGGGTGACAAGGATGCTCAGGGACATCAGTGCTGCCTTGGGAACATCCTCTTCAAACTCTTACTGCCCCAGCCTTGTCCCCTTCCATGCTCCATGCTCCAGATTACCTTCAAAAGGAATATCTGGGCTGCCAGCTGACCAGCCTGCATGGGTTTTTAGTTGCCAAGAGCTGGGAAAGGCTGGCATAAGAGTTGGCAGTTCAGATTACCTCTTCAGGGAATAAAATCAGCAAAAAGACCAAAAACTAAGTAAGATGCCTATTGTGCCCTGGGGAGCATGTGCAGATTTTAGATGGGGGAAGGAGCTGTGTCCTGTTTTTGGAGGGACCTTCTCCTGAGAACAAGCAGAGGCAGCTGCCCTCTGGGAAGCTGGAGAAGCCCTGCCCTGTGGCTGACACTTGTACAGACACTGGAGACCTCCTCCTGGACCCTGCCTTCCCCTCACACCCACCTAGGCCCAAGCTTTCTCTTGGTTCCCCTTTGGACAGACGCCAAGCTAGAGGGACCAGGGTTCATGTTTAGGCCCCCTCAGAATGAGAGGTCTGCTCTGAACTTGAATGGCAGTTAATGCTGAGTGCTCTTGCTCTTGGAAGCTGCCTGGTACTTCATTGGGGGTCAAAAGAAACCCCTTAGTATTAGCTCTAAAGCTAAACCATGTGGACTTTGTGCCTGTTACCTCAGGGACTGGGCTGGAAGGTCAAGCTTGTTTCAAGAAGAAACCTCTGTTCCAAAGGGGGAGGCCGTGATAGCAGGAGCCAGGCCAGTCTGCAGCACCAGGGGCATAGGCTTGGGAAGCAGCCCTGTCTATGAGGAGGAGGCAAGAGAAAGCCTGGCTTTTTCCTGCAGGCTTTGGGGGCATTAGGTGGGACCCTGAAGAATGCAAAGAGCCATCTCTTTCAGTGTACCTGTTTTCTTTTCCTTCACTGTTCATTTGCTGTCTTGCCCCCTTCATAGGTGGCTGGGAAGGCTCCGCTTCATACAAGTTGACCTTCACAGCAGGGGGTGCCATCGAGTTTGGTCAGCGCATGCTCCAGGTGGCATCTCAAGGTATTCAGGCTGTAGAAATTAGGGGCCAAGGACACATTGGACATGTGGGTTTTTTGTTTGATCGTGTTTCCTTTTGTTTTGTAAGCATCAGAAGATATATCTGACCCTGCTGACCAGGGCTGGGAGTTGGGGACAAAGCCTGTAATTTCTGCTCAGTCCTGTACCTCAAGGCCTGGGCCTCTTCTGCCTGGAGCAGGTGTACTACACTCTGACAGATCTATTTGGACTTGACATTTTACTGTGGCCTCACAAAAACAAACAAAAAACCCAACCATTAAACCATTAAGCAACCATTTTAAGTTACCAAGTACTGTGTTCAGCAGACAGCCTCACCTGGCTCCTCCTCTACCCCTCCCGAGCCTCCTTCCTTCCCTCCATTCACCTCCATCCCTGTCCCCTCTCTTGCCTTGCCTCATCCCTGACAGAGCCAGACCCAAGTATGGGTGGAGAGTGGAACAGAGGGTAGGCCTGTCTGCTGGCCCGTTCCTGGGTGCCAGCAGCTCCCCAGCAGGCAGTGGGGCCGCCCTCTGCCAGCCCTGAGGCAGGTGGCACTCATCTCTCTCTCCCCTTGTGCTTATAGCCTCCAGAGGTGAAGCCCCCAATGGAGCCTATGGGTACCCTTACATGCCCAGCGGGGCCTATGTCTTTCCCCCGCCAGTCGCCAATGGAATGTATCCCTGCCCTCCTGGCTACCCCTATCCACCGCCCCCACCTGGTGAGTGTGTCCTTTGCTGCCCACCCTCAACCCACCCACCCACTCAACCACTAAATGCTTCTCCCAGGCCAGGGGGTGCAGAGGGGAGACCCGTAACTAACAGATGCTGGAGAGGAACAGAGGCTGCCCCTGAGGAGCTATATGGGGCAGCTCCCAGGAGGCAGCCTTCTGAGGGAGCCAGGCCTGACTAGTCATTGGGCCCCTGTTGCTCTCTTGCCAAGCAGAGTTCTATCCAGGAGCTCCTGTAATGGATGGGGCCATGGGATATGTGCAGCCACCACCACCACCCTATCCTGGACCCATGGAGCCTCCAGTCAGTGGCCCTGATGTCCCCTCCACTCCTGCAGGTAAGGTCCCTGGGCTGCTAGCAGTCCTTTGAAACCAACCCTCTCTTCTCTAGGACCTAGGACCTTGCAGGAGCCCCTGGCCTAGGAACCAGCAGGGAAGGTGGCCTGGTGGTGAAAAGCTAGATGCTAGTTCTCTCTGTCCCTTAGGTAGCTGAGTGACCTACCTATTCGGTTCAGGCTCCTCCATGTATAAACAGATGGTCATGGGGCCACTAGTGGGCTTGTGTCAGGGGTTAAGACATGTAAGGGACTGGAAAAAAGTGCCAGCATGTGGCAGTTGCTTAGAAAACTCAACTGCCGCTCTTTTATTGGCAGTCTCGGTCACCAGCATTACTGCCCTGAGCCTCAGGGGCTGGGAGGAGAGGGCTTGCCACCAAAGCTTACTTTGTGTTTGCTCTCCAGCTGAGGCCAAGGCCGCAGAAGCAGCTGCCAGCGCCTATTACAACCCAGGCAACCCACACAACGTCTACATGCCCACGGTGAGTGAGAGTGGCCGTCCCCTCAGCCATACAGCCATAAAGACAGGGAGTTGGGCGGGAAGATGGTCCTCCTCTTATTCTTTTTTTTTTTTTTTTTTTTTTAAATATTTATTTATTTATTTTAGTTTTTTTCGGCGGACACAACATCTTTGTTTGTATGTGGTGTTGAGGATTGAACCCGGGCCGCACGCATGCTAGGCAAGCGCGCTACTGGTTGAGCCACATCCCCAACCCCCCTCCTCTTATTCTAAGAACCTTCTAACATGATCTTTCCTTCCTTCTTTAGAGCCAGCCTCCACCACCTCCCTACTACCCTCCAGAAGATAAGAAGACCCAGTAGACCCCGCCTACTTCCCTGTCCCCACCTCATGGGCCTTCCCTACCCCTCCTTGTGGGACTGCATCTGGCTGGGGGAGGCCAGGGAGGACCTTATTCTTCCCCAGGTCTGATTATAAAGAGTTACCAGGAACTAGTGTTGTTGCAGGAAGGCAGGGCTCTGGCCTCTGGAAAGGTGTTCCCCCAGCTTCCCACACTAGCTCAGCCCACAGCGCCCCTCGTACCATTTCTGGGGCTGTCCTTGGGAGCACGGGGTGTTCCCCTTGTTCCTGTTTCACTCTAGTAGTTCCTTCCCACAGAGGGACTCTCTGGCCACCTCCTCTATTGCAGTCCAGCCCCTTGGTCTGGTAGCCATTCTGCACTCAGCCTTGTGAGCCCCCCCAGACCAGCTACATGTCTTCCCTGTGGGCCAAGAAGGTCCTACCAGGCCCAACTCACATTCCTTCCCCTGTCTGTGCTTAGCTCTGGAAGGCCACTGTCCCACCTGACCATCAGTCCACATTCCATTCAGCCAGGCCTGCCTTCCCTGTCCGTGGTCATTCTGTTGCCACTTCTGATTGCAGGAGCTTTACAACAAGCCTCCAGGGTTTAGTGGCTTCAGGGGAAGGCCACTGCGGCTGGGGATGAGGCTCCTCTGTTCTCTTGCTAGTGTTTCTGGAATTTGTTTTCCCTCTAGTCTCTTCCCTCTACGAGGGGCTTCTCAACTGGAGCTGAAGAGTGCATGTCCATCCCATCATGCCATTTGGGGGCTGCGGGGTGGGCTCAGAACAAAGGGCCCCCAACCCTACATGCTGATCATAGCCTGCTGCCGGCCCCTCCCTTTAAGCATCATGCCCCCTGGATACACGGAGATTTGCTCGTTTGTTCCTGGACCGGCCGCGAAGTGAGGAGAGATGGTTATTTAAAGAGAATTCCCTATTTATTTGACAAAAAAAAAAAAAAAAAAAAATCCAGTTAATATATTAATGTGAAATAAACCCTGTTTGCACCTTGCTTTGTTTGCTAAAACTGTGAAATAGTAAAAATGAAATAACTGGACCTTTCTGGCTGTGTGTGCTGACCAAGGGGAACCTTTTGAAGAAGAGCTGTCGAGCTGCTGAGGAGACTCTTCCTTCCTGGAGCGAGAACCCCTTGTTCTGGGCCACTCCCCACTGAGGCTCATGCACCTGGCTGGGGTGGCCAGTGGTGCCGCCCAGCACCTGGGTAGAAGAGGCAGGCAGGGCCAGCTTTTGTCCCACCTGCTGACTCTGTAGAGTTGCATTTCCAGCCCCAGGCTCAGAGCAGGAATCTGAGAGGAGGTGGTTTAGGGTCCCTGGAGCATGCTGGACGCCTCTTTGAAGCCTGGCTAGGACAGCTGGGTGGGTCACTGCAGTGTGTGACCTGGTACTGCCTTCCTGAATACCTGAGTGTTGGGGAGGGTGGGAAACATTCTGTGCTCCACTCCAGCCCAGGCAGTGGGCACAGGGTCAGTGGGTTGGGGAGCTCTGGGATGCTGGTGCTAAAGTCCGTTTTCCTGTCCCCAGTAGACCAGATCTGCCCTCTTGGAGAGATTGGCAGGAGGGCTTCTCCCACTTCTAATGCCAGCCCTACCCAGGAGCTCTCAGGATTTGGCTAAGCCCCCCTACAAGGGAATTTGACCATCATAGTGGAGTTGAGGCTACAAGGAAGTCCCAGGCTGGTACAGCTTGGCCCCGTCGTCACCTCCATGGAATGTCACCTGTGGGGTGGAGCAGGCTGAGCAGTTGGCTGCCAGTTGGGGAACTGTGTCTCAGTTTGAGCCTGCCCCACCCCTGCCCAGGTCTGGGACCCATTCTGTCTGGGTAGCCTGGGGTGAGAACCCCTAGGACCAAGGTTAGCTTCCCTGGGTGCAGTACAGTTGATGGGGGAGGGTGCCCCTGCTGGGAGCATGGGACCATCCCTAAAGCCTCTGTGGGAGGGTGGGGTGGGGCTTACCAGCCTACAGCGTCCACTTTCTGCTCCAGGATAGACAGGCTCTTGCAAGGATCTGGGCTGGAGGAAGGTGCAGGAGACCTGGGAGACAGCCTCTCCAAGGCAGTGACACCCTGACCCTTCTGTCCCCCCCACTGCGCTCCCTCCACCCTTCCCAGGCAGAGGGTGGCAGCCTTGGGGCTCTTTGCATCATCCTGTGGCTTCACCGTCTTCACTCAGCAGCAGCAGGGCGGCAGAGGGAAGGGCAGAACCAGCCATCATGGCGACAAGCCTCTCCCACCCACAGCGGCGCCCTCCCCTCTTGCGCCAGGCCATCAAGATAAGGCGCCGCAGGGTCAGAGACCTACAGGATGCCCTGCCTCCAACAACCCAGGAGGTAGGAGTGACCTCAGTGGGGAGAACAGCTGGCCTTGGGGACTCAGCAGGCATGGGTGCCTGGCCCCACCTACCCATCCACCCTGCCCCTGGGCAGAGCCTTCTGGGTCAGCAGAGTGGGTTTGCCACATGTCCTCTGAGCCACCATGAGTCTCTCAGGTTGGGGGCCCGAGCTTCTCTAGCCCCCTTTCCACAGTGGGCCTGCCCTCCCTCTCCTGCTCCCCTAGTTCCAAAGGAACTTTGCTCTGTGAGGCAGGTGTCCCTGATGTGGGGTAGGCTGCCTAGGGACCCCTCTGAGCTACCTCAGGCTTGCTCAGCATCCCCCCCAAGTCTCCCACCTCAGCTGCAGGGCCTCACTTCCGCCACAGGGCTGAGCAGGCGGCTGCCTGATAAGCAGAGCTGTTTCCTCTGGGGAAGGAAGAGCGTGTGGGGGCAGGTGGCAGAGGGCTGTGCTGCTGGGCCAGCTGAACGCCCATGGACCTCAGCCTCAGCAGGCCAGGGGACGAGCAAGGTGGCCCAAGGGCCAGACCCCAAGGAGGCCTGTTGTGGGAACAGGTGTGGGGCTTCAGCGGGTTTGGAGGGTGTGCTAGGGACCCACTGCACTAGGCCTGGGCCTTCCTGTCCCTCCAAGCAGGCCTCCAAGGACACCTTGTCTTTCCACCTTGCTCCCCAGATTGAGCCTCCATCCCACCACTTCTCCCCTGAGGAGGTAAGAGTCGGAGTGATGGGGGGGTGCGGAAGAGTCGGAGATGGGGGTCGCAGAGAGGTGCGGGAGCAGCCCTACATCCTCCTGACAGCCCCTCAATCACTGGCCAAGGCTGATGGCGGCAACCTGGGAGGGACTTCTGAGCCTCAACCCCCTTCACTGCACATGGGCTGCCTGTCTCTGCTCTGGGCTTGAGGTGTTGCTGTAAGGGGTTCCTTGGGCGGGGGAGTTCCTGATATGACCCTGCTGGGCCTCAGCGGGACCTGCTCTATGAGGAAGCACTCTACACTGTCCTGCACCGCCTGGGTCAGCCGGAGCCCAACCATGTGACTAAGGCCTCGGAGCTGCTGGGATATCTACAGGAGGTGAGCCCAGCCCCAACCCCTCCACCTTCCTGCAGCCTGGACCCCCGGGGGCTCTGCCTTCTCGCCTGACCCCTGCCCTCAAACTCCCACACACTATCTGCCTCCCCACCAGGCCTTCCAGCTGCAGCCTGAGGAGCACCAGCAGATGCTGCAGCGGGTCAGGGAGCTTGAGGTAACTTGGGCCAGGGCATCCCAGGCAAGGAAGGGCCTGGGAAGCCCAACCCTCTCGGGGACTCAGGATACTCCCTCCCATCCTCTAGAGGCCAGTATTTTGTCTGAAGGCAACAGTGAAACAGGCCAAGGGCATCCTGGGCAAGGATGTCAGTGGTGAGTGCAGGGTGGTGAGCCCTGAGGGCTGCTTCCTAACTCCTTTCTGTCCCATCACAGTCTGACCCAGAACTCCTGGCAGGAGCTCCTGTCTCCCAAATGTCTCCAGGACTGGCCTCCATCTAGCTGGTCCCTTGCACTTGGCGTCTGGGCTAGGGAGGTGGTGCTCTGTCCAACTTTCCCTGTCCCTCTCTCAGGAGAAGCTCCTCAGGTGGGCTGAAGAGGGACCCTCCCAGGGAGCCCAGACAACTCTGTGGTACCTCATCCTCTCTCCTCCCCAGGGTTCAGTGACCCCTACTGCCTGCTGGGCATCGAGCAGGGGGTGGGTGTGCCAGGGGGCAGCCCTGGGTCCCGGCGTAGGCAGAAGGCTGTGGTGAGGCATACCATTCCTGAGGAGCAGACCCACCGCACCCAGGTTGTCAACCAGACACTCAACCCTGTCTGGGATGAGACCTTTATCCTGTACGTGGCCCTGCCCCAGCACCCCTCCCCATACTCTTAGGACTCCTCAGTCAGTCAGATGAGTGGCTCTGGAGAAGGGGCTTGGCCCTGGGTGGGGGAGACAGAGTAGGCCAGACAGGACAGTCCTGGTGTTGATGGGGCTGGGTGGAGTCCCTCCAGGTGCATTGGGGATAGCCTGAGGCCCTACCTTGCAGGGAGGAGGGATGGGGAAGGGATTGTGTAAGGGGAGTAGCAGCTTGCAGGAAGGTGCCAAGTGGGAGTGGGCATATGGTGGGGATGGCAGCTGTGAAGGACAGGATCTGGAGTCCTTGTGGTCTGGTCTGATGAGGGTCCTACGCTTCCAAGGCCCTCAACTACACCCTTTTCTCCCTATAGGGAGTTTGAGGACATAACCAATGCGAGCTTTCGCCTGGACATGTGGTGACTGATATGGCCTGCTCCTGGGGATGGGAAGAGAAGGGCTGAGGATGGAAAAGTCTCCTCCCTGAAAGGGTGATGGGCACCCTGTCTGTCTCTTATTCAAACCTCTGCCCCACCAGGGACCTGGACACTGTGGAGTCTGTCAGACAGAAGCTTGGGGAGCTCACAGATCTGCATGGGCTCCGGAGGTGGGTGCCGGACTCATGGGAAAGAAGGGGACTCCCTCTGCCCTCCTGCCACGTACTCCATCATTGGGTTCACGCGGGCTACTGGTGGGGGGCAGATTCTAGCCTGATCCCTTCAGGTACTTGATCCATCTCCCTCATGGATCCTGCCTGAAACAGGATCTTTAAGGAGGCTCGAAAGGACAAAGGCCAAGACGACTTTCTGGGGAACGTGGTTCTGAGGCTGCAGGTGAGGGGGAGGAGGAATGGGGCCTGGGTAGAGGTGAAGGGGGCATGCGTGAAGGCTCTGGAGAGGGGCTCCAGGTGCCTGGGGTCTGCCCCACTGCCTCCGGCCCCAGGCTCCAGGTATCTCCTGCCCACCAGGACCTTCACTGCCGAGAGGACCAGTGGTACCCCCTGGAGCCCTGCACTGAGACCTACCCAGACCGTGGCCAGTGCCACCTCCAATTCCAGCTCATTCACAAGAGGGTAGGTCTGGGGCCTGGGCCAGGAACTGAGCCCCGCAGCCTCAGTGGCCCTGCTGTGTTGGGTCTTCTCTGCTCACAGACATCCTTGCCTCATTGCAGAGAGCCACGGCAGCTAGCCGCTCCCAGCCCAGCTACACTGTGCACCGCCACCTGCTGCAGCAGCTTGTGTCCCATGAAGTCACCCAGCACCAGGTACTGCCTTCCCAGGGCTCGGTGCTGCCAGGGTTGCCAATCAGGTCCTAATACCTCTCCACTATTCCCCTCAGGCGGGCAGTACCTCCTGGGATGGGTCACTGAGTCCCCAGGCCACCACCATCCTCTTTCTCCATGCCACGCAGAAGGACCTATCTGACTTCCACCAGTCCATGGCGTGAGTGCACAGCCCTGGTGGGACCCTAGGGGGCTGTTGGCGGCTGGCAGGCTCCTGTATTCTGCTGGAAGCTCAAAGCCTCACACTTAGGAGAGTTCTCTTTGCCCCAAACTGCATGTTTTAAATCAGTGGCCAACTTTTTAAAAAATCTGGAGGGCTGGGGATGTGGTTCAAGAGGTAGCGCGCTCGCCTGGCATGCGTGCGGCCCGGGTTCGATCCTCAGCACCACATACAAACAAAGATGTTGTGTCCGCCGAAAACTAAAAAATAAATATTAAAAAATTCTCTCTCTCTCTCTCTTAAAAAAAAAATCTGGAGATTTCACATATAATCCAGATCTCCAGCTGCTCATGGGACAGAAGTATTTAAATGGCAGGACTAGTCAGAGCAGAGCAGTGTGTCCTCTATCCGGCGTGGTGGCCATTAGGGGGAAGGTAGTTGAGGGCCAGGGGCAGTGTATATCCAGAACCTTAGGCAGGTGAGTATTTCGGAAGATAAGGGTAGGATGGAGGTGAAGCTGGTACAGCCACCAGACAGTGAGGGGCCTGGTTTGCTTACAGGGCCCAAGCACATAGTGCAGGTGGCAGCTGTGTCCAGCAGGAACCTTGGCCTGTCCTTGGATTGCTCTTCTTCCCTACTTCTGCCCTTCCACTGGACCCTTGTCCAGCTCAGTCATTTCCTCCATCATGTCCCCTTGAACCATCCCAAGTTCCAGCTGATGGTTGCTATGTGTGCATGCAGGCTTAAATCCTTAAATCCCACTTTTCATAAGAAGCAAAAATTCTCAAGTTTTATGATCATGTAGCCCTATTTAAGAGATGGATTTGAAAAGCATTTAATTTGAAAAGCATCCATGGAAATAAACCATGTGAGTCACCTTCAGTCACTGGTTTTCAGCCTCTGCTAGTAGATGGTTTCCATAGGCGGCTTTGGAGCAGGGAAGGTGCCATCCCTCCCCCTGGGCCTGGCTGAGGCCTTCCTGTCCCTGCAGACAGTGGCTGGCCTACAGTCGCCTCTACCAGAGCCTTGAGTTCCCCAGCAGTTGCCTCTTGCACCCCATCACCAGCATGGAGTACCAGTGGATCCAGGGCCGGCTCAAAGCAGAACAGGTGGGATGTGGGAATTGGGTGGGCAAGGGCTGTTGAGCAGGGAGGGCTGTGGGGGAGGTCGGGGGAGCACAGGAGGCCATGGACCCATAAGCAGCTCCCAAATCCTGACATCTTCCTGGCTTTGCAGCTGGAGGAACTGGCCACCTCATTCACCTCCCTGCTGGCCTACGGCCTCTCCCTCATCCGGAGGTTCCGCTCTGTCTTCCCTCTTTCTGTCTCTGACTCCCCATCCCGGCTGCAGTCTCTCCTCAGGTTGGTGGCTCTGTTTCTGCTTCTTCAGGGGTGAGGGTGTAGTGGGGCAGCTGTAGGGAGAGGCCTGCTACAGGAGTGGGTATGGGGCAGTGGGCCTGTTGGACACAGCCCTCTCTCTGTCTCCCAGGGTCCTGGTGCAAATGTGCAAGATGAAGGCCTTTGGAGAACTGTGCTCAGACAGTGCCCCACTGCCCCAGCTGGTGATGGAGGCTTTGAGGGTATGACACCTTCCCTAGGGTGGATGAGGGCTTGTGCCTGGACCCAGCAACTCCTCCCTGCTCATTGCCTCTCTTTTGGCAGACTGGTACAGTGGAATGGTTCCACCTGAAGCAGCAGCACCATCAGCCCATGGTGCAGGTAGGTGTTGGACGGGGCAGGGCGGATTGGGACACTTGCCTCTGCAGCCCTGCTTAGCCCACCTTGTCCCTTCCAGGGCATGCTAGTGGCAGGCAAAGCCTTGCTGAACCTGGTACAGGATGTCATGGGCGACCTGCACCAGTGCCAGCGCACATGGAACAAGATCTTCCAAAAGTGAGCAGACCCAGGTTGGGAGGTGGTGGGCCTGTGGGATCCTGATGTGTACCACAGGGTCACACTGCTGTCTCCTCCAGTGTCCTCAAGATCGACCTCTTCTCCATGGCTTTCTTGGAGCTACAGTGGCTGGTGAGGCCCTCCACTGACCCTAGGTTGTATCCCTCAGCCCAGTTCCACCACCCTGCCTGCTAGGCCTTTCTTTGCAGGTGGCCAAGCGGGCACAGGACCACACATCGGCAGTGGGCAGCCCTGTGTCTCCAGAGATGGGCGAGAGTCTGTTCCAGCTCTACATCAGTCTAAAAGAGCTCTGCCGGCTGGGCCCAGTCCCTCTAGACAGGTAGGCAGCAAGCAGGTGGCTTGTGGCAAGCTGTACGTACTTCAGGAAAAGAAGTGGGTCTACAAGGGCTGTAGGCTAGAGCTGGTTGCAGCCTTCCACAGCTGAACTCTAGCTCTCCCCAGGGACAGAGTCCTGGCTCTGGATAGTTTTCACCGCTGGTTCCAGCCAGCCATTCCCTCCTGGCTGCAGAAGACCTACAGTGTGGCACTGGAGCGGGTGCAGCGTGCTGTGCAGATGGACAAGGTGTGGGCGGGGGCCTTGAGTTCAGAGATGGCCCAGTGCTCTGGGTGTGGTAGAAGCTGGTAACCTGCTGGGACACCCCCTCCCTGCCCACTCCAGGCCAGTTGTGTGCAAAATGCGGCTGCCTCCTGATACCCTGGAGTTAACTGTGACCTGTGACTTCCCTTTGCCATGTATCCTACAGGCTGGGGCTCTGGACAGAGCCTAGCTTGTCCCCCCCTGTAGCTCCCTGCTCAGCTCTGTGCTTGTTAGTGGGAGAATGGACTTGTCCCTGTTCTGAGCCCTCCTTTCTAAGTGCTCTCCCTTTTCCCCAGCTGGTGCCCCTGGGTGAACTGACCAAACATAGCACGTCAGCTGTGGACCTGTCCACCTGCTTTGCTCAGATCAGTCACACTGCCCGGCAGCTGGACTGGCCAGACCCAGAGGAGGCCTTCATGATCACTGTCAAGTTTGTGGAGGTGCAGCATGTCTTTCTGTGTCCTTCATCTTTCTAGGACAACCTTCCTATCACCTACCCCACTTCTTCCAGGCTCATCCACCAGACTTCCCAAGGCCTATGTCTGAAATTCTCCCAACATCCTGAGATTCACATGCCCTGCCCTCTACCCTGCATGGCAGCTTTACCCACTGATCACTTTCCTCTCCCTGACACCTCAGGACACCTGCAGGCTGGCCCTGGTGTATTGCAGCCTTATAAAGGCCCGGGCCCGAGAGCTCTCTGCAGGCCAGAAGGATCAGGGCCAGGCAGCCAACATGGTAACAGAGCCCAGGCTGGGGGCTGGTCAGGGTGGGGTGGGGCCTGGCAATGCTGGCCCTGTTTTAGGAAGCCCTGCATCCTTCTGTCTGTGCCTGTCCCCAGCTGTGTGTGGTAGTGAATGACATGGAGCAGCTGCGGCTGGTGATCGGCAAGCTGCCCGCTCAGCTGGCATGGGAAGCCCTGGAGCAGCGGGTGGGGGCCTTGCTGGAGCACGGTCAGCTGCAGAACACACTACATGCCCAGCTGCAGGGTGCACTGGCTGGACTGGGCCACGAGATCTGCACTGGTGTCCGCACTCTGGCTGAGCAGGTAAGTTGTTGTCTGACTCCACAGTGACCCCACCCTGGCCCCCAGCAGGACCTGGGTTGATGTCCAGCCCTCTCTTCCTAAGCCTAAACTCAGGTCCCAAGTGAACTCCCAATCCCCCACTCATTCCCTGGCCTCCCTCCATCTACCATTTTGTGTCCCCAGCTGGAGGTGGGCATTGCCAAGCACATCCAGAGACTTGTGGGTGTCAAGGAGTCCGTTCTGCCTGAGGATGTGAGTGACTCTCCTGCTCACTGACCTTTGCTGCCCTGCCAGCTCTTTGTGACTGGGGCTATAAAGGGGACCCAGGTTGTTTTGGGGGCTGAAGGCCTTAGGGGTATCAGAGATCAGCCCAGGTATGTTGTTTCCCTGGGCTGGTTTTCCTCTTTGAACACTCAGGGGTACAAATTGGGTCCCTGTATGGGCTCTCCCAGCACTGACAATCAGCGTGGGAAGGGTAAAAAGCCCCACAGGCCTGGGCACACAGCCTCCTTGGTGCCTCTTAGCTCCGCTGTAATGTTTATTCGAGCCAGCTCACTTCAGTCTCCCTGTCTGTAAGCTGGGAGAGTTGATACACACCCCTGATTGTTTTGGGGGAAGGCTACTCATTAATTCATCAACTGTTTAGTAAGTGCCCACATTGTCCTGACATTGATTCAAGCCTGGGGATAGATCAGTGAAAAATTTCTGCTTTCCTAGAGCTTACATTCTAGCCAGGAAAGTGAAAGAAGAGCCGAGTACGGAAGTACGATAACTTTAGTTACTAAGTACTGTAAGCTTAGTTATGACTATAACTATAAATATACTTACAGAAGCGTATGTGTGTGCACACACACTTATATAGTGTGTTAGATGATGATAAGTGCTAGAGAGAAAAATAAAACAGAAGGAAGGGTGGGAAGTGTCAGAGGGTTGTATTTTTAGATAGTAACGGGAAGACCTCATTCAGAGGGCAACAGCTGAGTCAAGACCACCAGGAAGCAAGGGAAGAAGCCATGAGAATTTCTAGAGGAAGAGCATTCCAGGCAGAGGGAACAGCAAAGGCTGTGAGGTAGCACCACGCCTGGCCATAGAGGAGGCTAGTGTGGCTGGAGCGATAGCAACCAGGAGAGGAAGGCAGAGAGGTGGGCAGGGGCAGAGCCTGCAGACATTACAAACCCATGCACAGAAACTCCTGGCCCTGTTTCCTCCCCAGGGCAAGGAAATGGGGGTGGGATTGAAATGGGCCTGAGCCACCTCCTCCTATTCCTCAGGCCATTCTGCCCCTGATGAAGTTCCTGGAGGTGGAGCTTTGCTACATGAATACCAACCTGGTGCAGGAGAATTTTAACAGGTCTGCCACAGTCCCTGCCCTGCAGTGCCCTCACCCTTTCTCCACCTGCCCTGCCTCCAGGGCCTCAGCATCTTAATTAATTAAGGGGACCTGTTGTAAATCCCTTTGGTGAAGTCCCTTAGAGGGTATGACCAGCCTCTGCTCAAATGTTTGCTTCCAGGGATAAGGAACTCACTCACTACCTTATAAACCTGTCCATTTCATGCTGTTCAGTACTGAGAATTACCAGTTCTTCCTTAGTCTGAGCTGAGATCTCCCTATCCATTCTCCCTTAGTCCTGAGACCATCTTCCGGAACCCTTGACTGCTTTTCCTCTTTTTTTTTTTTTTTTTTTGAGTCCCCAGGATTGAACTCAGGGGCACTTAACCACTGAGCCACATCCCCAGCCCTATTCTGTATTTTATTTAGAGACAAGGCCTCACTGAGTTGCTTAGCATCTTACTAAGTTGCTGAAGCTGGCTTTGAACCTCCTGTCTCAGCCTCCTGAACTGCTGGGATTACAGCCACTGGGATTATAGGCATGCACCACCATGTCCAGCTTTTTACTTCTTTTTAATGTTTTGGCATCCAGTGTTATTGGCCATGATCCAGGGAAACTTCTAGTTAGGGTCTCTTAAAGCATTGGATGGAGGCACAGGATGTGGACTCTGGATGGCCTGACTTTAGATTCCAGACTCAGTACTCCTTGGTGGCTTTGAGCAGTTACTAAAGTGCCAATGACTATAGGCTTCTACTGAGGACTAAAAGGGTCATGTGATGTGCTGAGAGTAGGGTTGTGGTCAATGACTACACAGGAAGTGGCCAGTGACTGTTAGTTGTAGAGATGCCCAGGAGGATCCACCTCCAGGTGGAACTGGGGCCCTGAGCAGGCTGCTGACCCTTCTCTCCTAGAATTCTTCTCTTCCTCCTGGACAGCCAGGACCCCTACAGCCAGACCCTTATGTCTTAGGCCATTTCATACCATTTGTTCAGCTCTCCCCACCTCCACATAAACCACAATTACCTCTCCACTAAGACAGGAGCTTTGCTTAGAAGCCTTTAGAACACTGCTTGGTGTATAATGAGCACTTACATGTGTTGAATAAATACATAGCCCTCCTCCATTCTTCTCTTTTTTTTTTTTTCCTGGAGCCAGGAATTAAAACCAGGACCACATGCCTCCTAGGCAGGGGCTCTACCAATGAGCTTTGCCCCAGCCCAGATCTCATCACCATTTTTAAAAAATTTTTTTTTAGTTGTAGATGGACATAATACCTTTATTTATTTATCTTTATGTGGTGCTGAGGATCGAACCCAGGGCCTCACACATGCTAGGTGAGTGCTCTGCCACTGAGCCACAACCCTAGCCCCTTTCCTCACCAATTTTAATTACACAATAATTTTTTTTTTGTATGTAACTGCCAGACTCTACTTTGACACATGTTAAACTCAGGGTGTTATAAGGATGGTGTCCCTGTCACTATTTTATTCCCTCTGCAATGTAGTAGATGCTTTATCCCTGTCATGTATTGTAATTCTATCTATTTTGGCTACTCCATCTTGAATCATGTTTCTGACATTGGGATCCAGCTTCCCTGCCCATCTTTTGTGGTTTATTGGGGTTTCATGATCCTACTGAAGATTCTTCACTGAACTTGAGATGTGTCAGATAGGACTTACCCTGCTGCCCCTTGTTTGTTCCCTTCCCTCAGGAGACACCAGTCCCCCCCCCCCCGCCACTGCCTGCCAGCTCTGGCCTCACCTGTGGAGCAAGTGTGGGGGAAGGTTGGGGTAGATCTGGGTCCTTGAGGCCTCCCCTTTCTCAAGAACATCTTTGCTTCCTCCTCCTCCACTGTATCCTATGTCTGGCATCCTCTGCCCTTGGCCAGCCTTCTGACCCTGCTGTGGACCCACACACTCACCGTGCTAGCAGAGGCATCGGCCTCCCAGCGCAGCTCATCCCTAGCCTCTAGCAGGCTGAAGGTTGCCTTGCAGGTAAAAATGCCAGCCATAGGACAGTAATCCTGGGGGAGGGTTCCTGGGGCCACCTCTGATGTCTCCCCCAGAACCTGGAGATCTGCTTCCATGCTGAGGGCTGCGGCTTGCCACCGGAGGCTCTGCACACGGCCACCTTCCAGGTAGGAATCTTTTGGTGAGCTCCCAGGTAGGAGGTCAGGGAATCTGTCTTTCTGCACTCACCTGTGTCCAGGACCAGCTACTTAATTTATTGGGCCCAGTACAAAATGAGAAGGTACGCATGCACCTTACTCAAAATTATTACCAGGGCTGGGGATGTAGCTCAGTGGTAGAATGCTTGTCTAGCATGTGTAAGATCCTGGATTCAATACTCAGCACTGCAAAAAAAAAAAAAAAAGGAAAGAAATCTAAGATGGTGACAACAGAGTATTAACCCAGGTGTGGAATCCTTCAAAGCACAGGGGCCCAGTGCTCCTGCGTAGGATGGGGGCATGCCCAAGAAGCCCACTGTCTGTGCCTCTGTCCCAAAACCTTAGGCATTGCTGAAGGTGCATTTTTGCTCATGGTCTTATAGCCCCAGAGCTTCCTTTTTGAAGTCATGTCTCAGCCTCAGTTGTGAGCCTGGTGACGGCTGTCTAACATTCAGGTGGTACTCAGATGTGTCCTTCTAGGCTCTACAGAGGGACCTGGAACTGCAGGCAGCCTCCAGCCGGGAGCTCATTCAGAAGTACTTCTGCAGTCGCATCCAGCAGCAGGTGAGGCTCCCCTCCCCCACCCCTACACCCACCAGGTTGGAGTTGGCCTCATCCTGCTTTGCCCAGGTGACCCTGTGTATGCAACCCACACCAGGTGGAAACCACCTCTGAGGAGCTGGGTGCCGTTACCGTCAAGGCCTCTTACCGCGCCTCTGAGCAGAAGCTGCATGTGGAGCTGCTCAGTGCCTCCGGCCTGCGGCCCTTGGACTCCAATGGTGAGTGGAAGCTGGTTATTGGCCACTAACTGCTTCCTCTATGGCCCTCCCTGCCAGTGTCCCTGGGGCTGCGGCAGGAGTTCTGGGTGCATTTCTCATGAGGCGCAGGGCTGTTGAGTGGCACAGCTGCAGGGGAGGACTAGAAGAACTCTGGCAGCACCCTTCCCCTAGGCTCCAGCGACCCCTTTGTCCAGCTGACCCTGGAACCCAGGCATGAGTTCCCCGAGTTGGCACCCAGGGAGACCCAGAAACACAAGAAGGACCTTCACCCGCTGTTTGATGAGACCTTTGAATTGTGAGTGGGTCCCTACTCTTCTAGTTCCTCCCCTTGCTTCCCTTCCCTGAGCCTCCTTCAAGGGACCCCTGAGATGACCACATTGGACTTAAGGAAAGGGCACTTGGGACAAAGGTTTCTTCCACTGAGGGGAAGGTAAAATTTGAAGCCTTCCAGGGAAGGGTCCTGACTTTGAGGTCCTCAGGGATCTGCTCTCTGTTGCCCAAGACAGGTGGACCTGGGGCCACAGGACCCCTGATTTAAAGCATCAGCCCATGGTCAGAGCAGGTGTCATGTCACATGGCTGAGAAGAGCCAGGCAGAGCTGCCTTTGTAATGTGCTTGTGCTCAATGAGGGGGTGATCCATGTGTTGGAGCAGGGGTAAGGTGATGATAGTCTTGGGCAAGCAGCTGAGCCTGATTATGTCCTTGCCAGCCTGGTGCCTGCTGAGCCATGCCAGAAGGATGGGTCGTGCCTCCTGCTCACGGTGCTGGACCATGACACACTGGGGGCTGATGACCTGGAAGGGGAGGCCTTCCTGCCACTGCGTGGGGTGCCTGGGCTGACCAGCTCTGAGGAGCCCAGTGAGGCGCCCCAGATGCGCCTGCCTCTCACGTATCCTGCGCCCAATGGTAGGCCTGAGTCCCAGGATAGGGCAGGGTAGAGATGGGACACCTGGAAAACTCAGGAAGGGACCCTAGAGAAATGCTTGCTTGGGAGATGGAAGCCAATGGAATAAGTGCTTGGGCTTGCATTGCTGTCTGGCCAATCTCTTGATTTGAGACCAATGAGATTCAAGCTCAGTGAAGTTTTGGGTGACTCTTCTCTCTGGTGGGTAAGGTCACCAATGAGTTTTCTTGGGGAGAGGAAGAAGCCTGGATCTGAGGGGCACATCCTTACAAAGAATTCTCCCAGCGTGATAACAGGAATAGTTCATCTTTGTGCACATATCATGAGTCAGTTCTGAGTACTTGGTGTACATGAACTCTTTCAATTCTTACAATCCATCAGTGAAGCAGGTGTTATCATCAGCTGTTTTAGAGACCAGAAAACTAAGGCACAAAGAGTTAACTAGCTTAAGGTTCTCTTCAGGAAGGTAGTAGTCACCACTTCAGGCAGTCCAAGCACTCTCATCTTCCAGCTGTGTCTTGAAGTTTGGCTAGTGTGTCAGTCACTGGTTTTCTTTCAGCTTGGTGATGATGGGTGGGGCAGTGCTGTGTTGTCCCCCCCCAACCACCATCTCCCAGACATGGCCTCTGGCTTCTTTCCACAGGAGATCCAATCCTGCAGCTGTTGGAGAGCCGGAAGGGTGATCGAGAGGCCCAGGCTTTTGTGAGGCTGAGGAGGCAGAGAGCCAAGCAGGCCTCCCAGCATGCCCTAAGGCCAGGGCAATAGAGGAGGAGTTGGGGAATGGGGCTGGTCCCTGGTGGAGTCTTCCCCACCATGGTTCATTCCCCTAGCCTGGCCTAATATTTGGAGAGCCATAGCAAGTGTAACGGTCAGAATGCAGCCTCTCTAGACTCTCCCATGGCCACAGTGATGGGTGCATCATTAACAGTATTTAAACTCCCTCCCTTCTTCCCTCCAGCCCTGGCCTCAGCATTCTCTGTCACATCCCAGCACAGAGGAATAACTCCAGCCCCTGCTTCCCCCGCAAAAACTGCTCTGGTGGGCCAGGGTCTAGAGCCCCCTGTCTCCTGGCCTTCCTCCTTCAGCTTTGCTAGGGTGTGGTGGGCCCAGACTGTCAGGACCCAGGCTGTGAGCAGAGCCTCCCTGGGGCTCCAGCTGCCCTAGGGGAAGGGTGGTGGTGGCCATTATTGGAGAGACCCAAGGACTTTGGCTCTGGAATGAGAGCTGGCAGGCAGCAGGGCTGGCACCAATGGACAGCAGAAAAGACAATGTGACTGCGTCTGCTGAGGGTTCTTCCTTCAGGAGGTATCTATCACCTAGAAACTTTCTTAGAAAAAAATAAAAATTAAAAAATTATCCACAGCCCTCTTAGGATTATCTGTTGGCATCCAGAGGGTCACCAAAGACTCAGGCCAGCTGGCCTCCTCATCCCTCAGGAGCCTCAAAGCTGCCCCCATGCCTCAAAGCAGGGAAGAGGGTATGGGCACAGCAGCCACAAGCAGGTGCTGAGGTGGCTAAAACACATGTTTTGACTGTGGGCTTTGGCAGATTTTATCAGGCCCATCAGTTATGGTGGTCACTGCCCAAGAGAGGAGCAGGTGCACCATGAGGCTGAGTGGCTGTTCTGGACAGCATAAGGGGCAGCCCTGCTGAGGGGAAGGGGGCCCCTTGCACACTGGGAGTCCAGTGGTCATTTTAGCTGTGACCCAGATGAAGTCTCTTAACATCCAAATCAGTACAAGCTGATGGAAGAGCTGGAGCTGGGCAGTTCTGAGGTCATGTGAAGCCTGCTCTATTTTCTTTACCCCCAGCACACAACCTGATGGGTAGCAGGGCAGAAAGACTTGGTGCCTAGAGCATGGGCCCCTCTGAAGGCAAGAGGCAGGGTACTTCCTCAGTGCCATTCCCTACTTATGCTGTTATGCAAACCATTCCAAAGGGACAGTATTGTCTACTGCCTTTTGGCAGTAGACAATAAAGAAACCGCTCATAGCTGAGGAAAGACCTACACAGAACAGTTGCATGGCCTGGGAGCTATCAGTATTCAAGGCTAAAAGGTCACCTTCATGTGGTCCCTGCAGGCCTGTCACAGGGCACTCAAGCTGTGGTGGACTCTGCGCCTGGACATGTCCTAGGCCTTGGCAGCTGCTTTGCCACACCTAAGGATGTGGGAGGAAGCCATTCCATGCCTGAGGCAGGGGTCCTGCCTGTCTCGAAGTTTGGAGGCCTGTGTTTGGGGACCCACACCCCCATGTAAATAAGTACCACTGCAAGTTCATATTTTATTTCCAATAGATCTGCTTTGTTGATTTTTGCATTTTTGTAAAAAAGGAGAAAAGTTTTCACTTAATTCATTGAAAGCCCTTTCGTGCTGAGCCCAAGGGGGGCCTGGGCCAGGGCAGACCCTTTGCAACCCTCTTGAGCCCACCCAACACCCAGAGCTGGGAGCAAGGTCACTTCCCTCTGCCCACTCTGCCCTCCCACCCCCGCTGCATCTCTTTCTGTACAGAACGACTTTTAAAATCGAAGCTAAGACACAATATACACTGGACAGCACACACACACATGCACACGGGCGTCTGCCTAGAATGGGCAGGACGTCAGCTGCACTCGGAGAGCACCAAGGAATGCATATGGAGCCCCTCTTGCCAGGAGGGCAGGGCCTGCGCCCCCTTGGTCCTCAGGCCGCACTCCTCCCCAACAATTGCCCTGCTAGCTGCCAGAGGGAGGGGGCGAACTGCACAGAGGCCACGCCAGAGAGGGGCCAGGGCAGGGACAGCTGAGGGCAGTGCCAGCCTGGCAGGTGGCCCTGGGGCCAGGAAGGCTGTTCCGGGGAGCCCAAGAGGGAAGAACTGAGGGGGACATAACTGGGCCTTGCCCCTCAAGGGGCTTCAAGGGCCCAACTTGGGAGGGGGCTGGCCCTGTAGCTTTGGCCTGCCAGCCCTCGCCATGGTCCCCAGGACTAAATACACATTTGGTAAACCTAGGAGCTTGACTGGCGTCAACCACCAGCACACCCTCAGGCCTCCCTGAGGCCCTCACATCTGGGAACCAGGTCCACCCACCCAGGGGGGCCTGGAGAGACAGGGTGAGCAGGGCCTGCCCTGAAGGCTTCTCCCTTCCCCTTTTCCCCTTCCAGCTTCCCACCCTTCCCCACTTAGGCCCCAAGAAGAAGTTAAAAATAGTTAGTTCCTACATAAAAAATACAGAAACAGATTCTCTCTGCCAAAAGGCCAGTGGGAGAAGAAGGGACTTTGTCTCTGAGCAGAAAGGGTGGGGAGCGGGCAGGGGAGGACTGCAAAATAGTCTTTTCTTTTAAAAAGTGCTTGGTAAGTCTGTTTTAAAGTGTGTGTCTATATCTATGTACAGATATACACACAGACACTGCATACGCTGGCCACCACGCATACTGGCACACACACAAATGTATACATGTACATAATCATATACATATACATACATACATACATACATACATACATATATATATATATACTTTAAAGAGTTCTAGGTGAGAGATCTGGGTCCGGCCAGGCCAGGCCAGGCCTGCAAGGTCACGACTGGAGGGTATGGGCCCTGCCGGGTTGGCAGACAGGGCATTCACTGCCCTCGGCACACAGCTCGCACAGCACGGCGTGTTGGCACGGTAGCACCGCCCGAGTCTGCTCCTGACACTTAAGGCATTTCACCGACTGCATGTGGAACACAGCCTGCAGGGAAAGTGAGGTTGTGGTCACCAGCCTGGTCCCAAGTCAAGCAAGGAGTTCCCTTGACTCTCACTTGCCCTGTGGGAGAGGAAACTGAGGCCCAGAGCCCAACGGTGTGCTTATAGGACGCTGCTGGCAAGCAGGAGCAGGTGAGAGCTTGGGCTGCTCAGCTCAGGCTCTGCCCACCACTCTGAGTGGATGTGACTGGGGCCAGGGAGCAGGCTGGGGCTGCAGCCTCTGTGCCTTAGGCCTTCTCCTGACAGACATTCATGCCTCTTGACTCACTTTATCTCTTAGTGACTCTAGGCCCCCTAAGTGAGAAAAATGAAGCCCAGAGAGGATTGTGACATGCTAAGGGGCCTGGTTGCTGAAACCTACTGCCAGCTCTTTCCACAAGGGCACATGGCTGATGGGGACCCAACAGGGCATCTAGCAATGCAGACAGGAAAGCCCTCACTGCTGATATGCGGAGAGCTACAAGAGGATGCCACCCAGGGCCCAGGCACACGAATGCAGCTTAGGTCAAGAATACTAGGAACGGGCACTGCTGCCCATGCTGGCTTAGTGCTGGGCAGAGGCTCTCAGAAGATCGGCTGTCCCTGGAGCAGCTGGACTGGATCAAGGGTCCCACACTGGCTGAAGCCATGGTGTGCACCCAGTGCTCCCTAACCTCCAAGGCTGACCTTGTCCACTTGTTCCAGATGGGCCCGCAGCTGCTTCTGGAGGGAGTAGAGAGTAGAGAGCGAGAGTGCCTCCAGGTCAGGGAAGGTGGGCAGGGCCTGGGGGTCAGGCCCTGCATGCAGCCGCTCTAGCTCTTCCTGGAGCTTCTTCACCTGCACCTCCAGCGCATCCCGCTGTTCCCGAGCCAGCTCGCATTCAGCACCTGCCGCACTGGCCCGCTCGCCGGCCTCCTCTGCCTCCTTCTTCCAGGCATCACAAGCCTGTGGGCCCAACACGCAGCGCCTCATCACGATGGCCCCCTGCCCCTGCCCCCCTGCCCCCCCAGAGAGCATCTCTGGGAGCCTGTGTGGGCCACTCTGGCTGTAGGGCCTGCTGGGAAGCTGGGCCTGCTGTCTGGGGAGGGGGCAGGGAGGAGGCTGACGCTGCCTGCAGAGGAGAGAGGTTTCAGGACCTGCAGGAGACCCTCCTTCCACGGGCAGGGCCTAGCATGGCAGGGCTCACACCCTGCCAGAACTCCCAAGGGCAGTTAGGCCCTCTGTCCAGCCACAGCCTATCTCAGAACCTAGGACCCTGGAGCCCTGGGAGTTGGGTCTTCCAGGAAAGAGCAGGTGGCTCTGCGGCTAGATGACACAAAGAGCTCTCAAAGGAAAATCCAGGCTTGTGGCACTAGCCACCCCAGTGACCCAACTGGCAGGGTCAGTCCTCCACAGGGAGAGAGGGCCAACAAGTTTCTGTTCTCTTCTTTGGGTCCCAGGTTCCCCCCACCCCCATGCCTGCTCTGGGTAGGCTGGGCTTAGGCTGGATGACACCAGGCACTAGGGATGGCAGGTAGTGTGGGGCTAGTACCTGCTTGGCCTGCTTCCAGGACTCTTCCCACTGCTTGATGGTCCCGTTGGCTTCATCTAGCTCTTGCCGAAGCCGGGCCAGCTCAGCAGCCCCTGGCCCTGATAGGAAGGCAGGGGAAGTCCCTGGGGAGAAGCTTCCAGAGGCAAAGTGCTCCCAGATGCTGCTGTTCATTCCATTCAGACCTGCCCCAGGAAGGGGAGGAACATCAGCTGTGGAGGACTTGGGCCTGGCCACCCCTGCCTGGGAGTTTCTAGGGCTGGTTGGACACTGGGTGGGCATGTGAGACTCTAGTTATGTCAGGCCAGGGTGTTTTGCAAACACGGGTCAGTAGACTGTAAAGGTGCCCTGGGCTGAGTTACAGACCTAGACCTCAGTGCTTCCTGCTCCTTAATGGCTCTTCTTATGAGTCTTAGTGTTTTCATCTGTACCTTGGGTCCCATCACTAGCCTGACTAGGGGCTCAGGAAGTATTACAAGGGAGGGCATTGTGAAGGCCCCTACTGGTGACAACTGGTAGTGATGACATCACTAGAAATCTAAAGGGCTAGAGCTCAGAGAGCTTTCTTGTACCTAGTGTGAGGCCTGAGAGGGTCCTGGATGACAAGATTAGGAGGAAGAGATATGGGAGAAGAGCCACTGGACAGCACCTTATGTGATAAAAGGGCTGGAGCAGGAGAAGCCAGGGAGCCTTGGCCTCCTTGTTTTACAGAGGACAATGAGACAGGATGTGCTATAAGAATCTCAGAAATCTGGGTGTAGTGGTGCACACCTGTAGTCCCAGCTACTTGGGAGACTGAGGTAGGAGTATCACAAGTTTAAGATCATCCTCAGCTACTTAGCGAGACCCTGCCTCAACATAAAAAGAGAAAAATGGAGCCAGGTGTGGTGGCACATGCCTGTAATCCCAGCAGCTTGGGAAGCTGAAGCAGGAGGATCTCCAGTCCAAAGCCAGCCTCAGCAATTTAGCCAGACCCTAAGAAACTCAGTAAGACCCTGTCTCTAAATAAAATACAAAAAAAAAAAAAGGGATTTGGCTCAGTGGTTAAGTGCCCCTGGGTTCAATCCCCGATATCCATAAATAAATGAATGAATAAATAAAATGTGCTGGGGATATTGCTGTTCAGTGGTAGAGCACTCTTGGGTTCAATCACCAGTTTAAAAAAAAAAAAAAATCATACAAATGGTGAGTGGTGTCTGCTCTTCCCAGTAGGCAAAGCTGCCACCCACCTGCCCACTCATTCAATTAACAGTAGGGCAGTAATACCTCCTGCCCTGCTCTTTGGCCCCCAGGGCACCCCTTGCTTCCTGGCAGACTCATCTTCATCTCTGGCTTTCTTTAGCCCACACATATTATCCTTCCCACTAATCTAGCCAAGATGTTCCAGAACCAGATTTCAAACATTCTGTCCTCAGAGCAATACAAATGATTGATACAAGAAGATGTTTTCCTGTGGAGCTTCTGCAGTGTGCACTGTCTGTCTGTGAACCTGGGTCCTCTGGATGAGTGCACTGACATGACTGGCCCAGCCTGCCCGCACCTCTCGGGTAGGTGGCATTTACTCTGTTGGAGAGGAGCCACTTCTTTAGAAAGTGTACTCAACTGCTCTGTCCACATAAGGTCCTTTTGGGATCCCAATGTCTGCACTTCTGCCTCCTGCCCTGGTGCCAGAGACCACTAGGTTGACTGCTCAGTATGACTAAACTGGTGAAAATACATGTGGGCCAGTAGGCAGGGCTCCATCAAGATGCCTCTGCAACATGGGCAAACCAGAAACATGACCTGGTGGTGGACATAATCCACCCCAGAGAACCTCTTCCAAACTGGGAAGGTACTAGGAAAATCCCTGGAATGAGAGGAAGTCCCCACACTGATCAGAATTTTTTTTCCTCTTTTTGTGGTTTTGGGAATGGAACCCAGGGCCTTGTAAATACGAGGCAAATGTTTTTTATATTCCTGAGCTACAAATTAGAACTTCAAAGGGCTCTCTGACTGATAGAAGGTCCTGACCCTCAGAGGAGGGCAGTCCTGGCCAAGGAATACCTGCTGGGGAAGTGGCTGTGGGAGAGGCTACTGCTGCTCATTGAGAGGCACCCAAGCTGGGGATTAAGTGTTTTATGCCCATTACCTCAGTGAACATTCCTATAGCCCCACAGGAGACCAGACCCTGGCCACTGGACCTGGAGGGTCTTTGAGGGGCCCAGTGCCCAATATTTTAATAATGCTGGGCTGGGCAAATAGCCCACTGGGCTAGCTCTGGGGCTCCCTGTACCTTTGCCTAGAAGAGCACCCTGACTTTGGGGTGGGTCTGTGCCACATTCTCCCTTGGTCTCCTGTGACCCTGGTGTGAATGTCTTCTGGGAGCTCTGGGTGACTAGGGGAAAAAAACTGATTAATTTATTTCTCTGTGACACTGGGGATCAAAGCCAGAACTCATCAGTACTAGGCAAGCATTCCACCACTAAGCTAAACCCCTCGTCCTTATTTGTTTTTCACCAGGCAAAACCACACTGAAAGCTAGACGTTGGCTGTGGTGATTCCAAGACCACTACTGTTTGCTGCACTAGCCTGTCCTGGTACTTCTTTAAGGCAGAGGCTGAATCACTTGCCCAGGATCATAGAATGGTAGAGCCTTACAGTCTAGACCCTGCTCTGGGACTGGGGGTTGTAGCTCAGTGGTAGAGTACTTGCTTATTAGCACATGTAAAGCACTAGGGGGTTCAATCCTCAGTGCTACATAAAAATAAATAAATATGGCTGGGGATGTGGTTCAAGCAGTAGCGCGCTTGCCTGGCATGCGCAGGGCGCTGGGTTCGATCCTCAACACCACATAAAAATAAAATAAAAATATGTGCCCACCTAAAAAATAAATAAACAAATAAAAATAAATAAATAAAAGGGAGCTGGGTGCAGTGGTGCATGCCTGCAATCCCAGCAGCTTGGGAGGCTGAGACAGGAGAATCTCCAGGTCAATGCCAGCCTCAGCAAAAGCAAGCCACTAAGCAATTCAGTGAGACACTTAAAATACAATATAGGGGGCCGGCGTTATGGTTCAGTGGTAGAGCACTTGCCTAGCAAACATGAGGCACTGGGTTCAATCCCCAGAACCACATAAAAAAATACTAAATAAAGATATTGTGTCCATCTACAACTAAAAAATGTTAAAAAAAATACAATATAGGGCCGGGATGTGGCTCAGTGGTTGAGAGCCCCTGAGTTCAATCCCCAGTACCCCAAAAAAAGGTCTAAAAAAGTAAAACAAATAAAAAAACACTTCTCTGACCTCTAGCCTGGGTGATGTGCCAAGCAAAGAGTGGCCAAAAGCACATTCTAAAAATTCTTGCCCTAGTCCCCTCTTACCTAAAGATCCATGTGATGCTGAGGTCCCCAAAAATGTGTTTTCTGACTGGCTCAGGTGACCCTGGGGCTGCTGTAGAAAATGTGAAGAGAGGCTGACAGGAGGAGAGGGGGACGCAGAGTGGAAGGAGGTAGAGCTGCCCAGGGAGCCAGGGATATTCACAGGTGCAGAACTCTGCAGCAAACTGCCACCTATAAGAGGAGCCCCGAAGGGCGGGCTGGGTGAGGGCCAGGCAAGCCATATGGGCCACACAGAGCAGGTGGCCTGGGCTAGCTGGGACCGAGGCATCCTCCAGGCCACCCTGCCCACCCAGTGCCCAGTACCGATTGTGATGCTGCTGGGGTGGGGCACTGTGCTATTATCGAAAGTCTTCTCCAGGGCAGCCACCCCAAACTCGTTCAGGTCCAGATCATCCAAGGCAGATTCTAGGGACAGAGAGACCAGGATGTGGGCCTCTCAGGGGCCATAGTCCAGGCTCTAATCCCTACCTGACCCAGACCTCCTCATATCCTGCCCACCATGTGCCTTTGCTCAGGATCTCCTGGAACACTGACCCTTGATGCCTGCCCTGTCCAGCCCCAGTGTCCTCCTTTCTGAAGTCTTCTTTGACATTTCATGGAGGAATCAAGTCCCAATCCAGGGTCCCTGCCTCTGATGGAGAATGTCTTATGATGTTTCAGGATGTGTGTCTCACCCTGAGCTCAGAGGTCTCTGGACTCTCTGTGGCCAGTACATAGTAGGTGATCAACAAATGCCAACACCCACTACTGAAGTGGCCTGGGAGGGAGGATGGGGACAGTTTCCCTCCTAGAGGCAGAGAACAGCACATCATCATCTCTGTCTCCTCAGTGTTTGCCATGGTACCTGGCAAAAAGTGGGCACCCGTAAATGAGTGATGCAGGAAAGGAGCACAGATGGATGACTGCTTGCTGCTGAGGATGAAACCCAGGATCTGTGTATGCTGAGTGACACCCCAGTCCAGGGTGTCACTCTAAGGACAGTTGTGCTCATAGTTTACTTCATAGGATACCCAGTAAAAGAATAATTAGGGATAGCATGATCCAAGTCTTGGGATAAGCCTATCTCTAGCTGCATGAAAAAGCTCCAAGAGCTAAGTCTTGGGCATATATTTGGAACTCATTTTCCCTTCAGCTTGAAGGGCCCAAGTGTCCTTCTGACTCTGCCAAGCCAGATATCTAAGGTAACTAGTGTGCTGATCTGAACTCACTTCAGAGACCTTATGTCTCTGACTCCAGGCCTAGAACTGGGCTTGCAAACAGACCCAGCCTAATTACCTATGACCGATTCTACCGTGTCACTGGTGGGATAGAAGGGCAGAGCGTTTGCATTCATGCCAGGGGCGCTGCTGGTGCCTGCAGGGCTGGGGGGTGTGGCTGCCAGGCTGGAGGTGATACTGGAAGAGATGCTTGAGGTCAGAGGGCTGCCCACAGGGAGGATGCCCAGCACGTCCTGCAACGAGAGTGAGGAGAGGCAATGGGATGCCTGCTTGTGGAGGCAATAGCCAGGGGCTAGGACAGGCCAGCAGGAGCACAGGGAAGTGGCTCCTCCCAGCTCTTAGCTGGCCTCCCCAGGCTCAGGCAAGTTGTATCCCCCAGCTTATTAGGAGGCTGGAAGTAGAAGAATGTGGCCTGGAGGCTGCAAGCCCCCAGTCAGGGGAGGAGTAGGTGCCATGCATAGTAAGGTTTACACTCCCTTAAAATTCCACCTGATGGATGGATCTGTCTAGAAGGGGAGGGACTCCAGACCTGAGCCTCATCTTCTCTGAATTTGGGGCTGGGTCTAATTCCTACCCTAGCTTGTGGGGACAGTGGTGTTCTCACTCCCAGCAGCCTGCTAGGGTTCTGGGCCTGTTCTGTCCATGGCAGGTACCAGAAGGGAAAATGGAGGTTGAGAATTCTGTACCTGTTTGGGCTGAAGCAGAGGCTGCTCTTGACTCCTGGGCTCTAGTGAATGGGGTTTCAGTTTGGTCTGAGAGAGAAAAGTCAGGGAACAGGAGGTAAATGTGGTGGGAGCTCAGAGTCCAGGAGTACACCTGACCCCACTATGACCACCAGGGGCAAGTGGCGGTGGCAGATTCCTGTTACTTGCCATGCATCCCTTTAACACCCCCCCCCCCCCCCGCCCCAATACACACATTCCTTCCATTATTCTAAGCTGGGAGCTGCCCCTCTCCATCTAGATAAGCCCAGGTTTCTCTCTAGGTCCAGTCAGAGACCCACCCCTGTCCCACCCTCAGGCCCTGCCATAGCAGGAAAAGGACTGAGCTCTGATGGAATTCCTACTCCTTTACTGACTAGCTCTGTGGCCCTAGAGAAGCTGCACAGCCTTTAAAGCCTTCCTGTCCTTGGTTGGGAATCGACATTACTCACTCTTCTTGGTTCTGAAAAGGCTGAGGTCAGAGAATCCTACCTCCCAAGCATCCTTCCCAGAGTGTGGCCAGGCCTCTCCTCCAAGTTTCCCTCAACTCAGGCAGGAGAAGGCCAAGCTCACTGGGCTTAAGTATCCTGTCACCCTGCTTATCCCTTACCTGGCATTTGAAAGTTTTCAGGTACTCGGCTCCCACCTGGTCTTCCCTCTCAAAGCCAGGAGCTTTCTTGTAGCTGCCAGGGGCTAGGCCAGCCTCCCCAGGAAAGACGAGACCCTCCAGGTTTGGTGGCTTCCTACCAGGGCCCGGTGGGGAGCCACACAGGTTGGATGGGCTGCCCAGGCTGCTGCTCCTGCAGAGGAGCTGCAGAGGATGGGGAGCTGGTGGGCATGATGGCTGGGGACATGGTCCACCCTTCATCCCCACCTCAAAGTCAGTCTTCAGCAAGGGGCTCAGTTCCATTTCCATCTGCCAACGGGCAGCAATAAGTACTCAAAAACCTTGAGCCTCATGGGGGACTTGGAGGGGAGGAGTGACAGAAGGCTCTGTCTCAGCCCTATCCAAGCTAATCAGCACCAAGGCTGTGCTGCCCCACTTTGACAGGACCCTGGGACAGAAAAGGCAGAACCATTTGTCCAGAGGACAAATGTCAGGGTCTCCTCCCAAGCACAGGCTTAGGGAGCATGAGAGGCAGGAATAGCTCCTGGGCAGGCACAGTGCCCACCCATTCCCCAGGACAGGCACGTACAGCGCTGAGGTCGGGGGCATGCGGGCTGGAGGGGCTCACAGGCACCGAGTCTCCAGCAGCAGATGGCATGTACAAGATGGGACCTGGCTGGGTGGGGCTGGACACAGCTGAGGAAGGCTGCAGGTCGTCACTTAGGGGTGGCTCTGTAAAAGAAGGACAGGGGTCAGCAGGCTACTGAGCTAGCTCAGTCCCATGCTATCTTCTTCTTCTTCTTTTTTTAGTTGTCAATGGACTTTACTTTTTTATATGCTATGATGAGAATTGAACCCAGTGGCTCACACATGCTAGGCATTCCACCACTGAACCTCAACCCCAGCCCGCATGCTATCTTCTGCATCTCCCTGCACCTAAGAAGAAGGTTCCTATATCATTTCCATCGAGACTGAGTCTTCTGCACTTACTATGTGCCAGATGTGGGTGCCAGCACTTTGCATTAACTGTGAAGCTCTATAGTGACCACAAAACACAGGATTATTAATGTCTCCACTTTATAGATAAGGAAACTGGGTTAAATCTACCAAGGTGACAGAGCTAAGAACTGAGATGTGATCCTTCCTATTCAGCACTTCTCTTTGGTATAGATCAGCAGGCACTCTATCACTGAAAAAACTTATTATTTTTTTTAAGTCCTGGGGATGGAACCCAGAGTCTCATGCATGCTCAGCAGGCACTCTACCACTGAGCTATACATCCCCAGCCCCTCTCTGTGGTATCTCAATTGCAGTCTCAATAGGGACCATCTCTGTACTCCAAATATGCTTCTCTCTTCCAAGGGCCCTGGTTTATTCTTCACTCTTAATATTTTTAGGTGTAGATAGACACAACACAATGCCTTTATTTTTATGTGGTGTTGAGGATCGAACCCGGGTCCCGCCCGTGCTAGGAGTGCTCTACCGCTGAGCCACAATCCCAGCCCAATATTCTTCACTCTTAACAGGGCTGTCACGCCTTGCTTCCTCTCTGAGACTGGAGTGGTGGCCTGGTGTAAAACGTATCTGTGCTGTCCCACACACAGCCACAAGGCACCTGAAGCTACAGCTACTGAGCACTTGAAATGGGTTGGTCGGATCTGAAATGTACTGCAAGTATTAAAATATATATCGGGTGCTAGTTGGGAGGCTGAGGCAGGAAAGACCAGCCTGGACAACTCAGAGAGACCCTGTCTCAAAATAAAAAATAGAAAGAGGGCTGGGGTTGTAGTTCGGTGGTGGAGTGCTTGCCTCAAACGTGTGGGGCCCTGGGTTCGATCCTCAGCACCACATAAAAATAAAGACATTGTGACAATCTACAACAACAAAACAAACAAACAAACAAATAAATACATAAAAATGGGTGCAGATATATCTCAGTGGTAAAATATCTCTGGGTTCAATTCCCAGTTAGAAAAAAAAAAGAGCAGGAGATGGTGATAGAGCACCCCTGGGTTTAATCTCTAATATGGCCAAAACATAAATAAATAGGGGCTGGGGTTATGGCTCAGTAGCAGAGTGCTTGCCTCAAATGTGAGGCACCGGGCTCGATCCTTAGCACCACATACAAATAAATAAACAAAATAAAGACATTGTGGCCATTCCATCTATAACTAAACAATAATTTTAAAAAGATTAAAAAGAGGGACTGGGATTGTGGCTCAGTGGTAGAGTGCTTGCCTCATGTGTGAGGCACTGGGTTCAATTCTCAGCACCACATATAAACAAATGAATAAAATAAAGGTCCATCAACACTAAAATAAATATTAAAAAAAAAAATATTAAGGGCTGGGGATGTGGCTCAAGCAGTAGCGCACTCGCCTGGCATGCATGCGGCCTGGGTTCGATCCTCAGCACCACATACAAACAAAGATGTTGTGTCTGCCGAGAACTAAATACTAAAAAAAATAATAAAAATAAAAAATAAAAAGGCGCATGGGTCTGGAGATGTGGCTCGAGCGGTAGTGCGCTCGCCTGGCATGCGTGCGGCCCTGGATCGATCCTTAGCACCACATACAAATAAAGATGTTGTGTCCGCTGAAAACTAAAAAACAAATATTAAAAAATTTCTCTTTAAAATAAATAAATAAACAAACAAACAAATAAATAAATAAAAAGGTGCTAGGGTTGTGGCTTAGCGGTAGAGCACTCACCTAGCACATGTACGAGGCGCTGGGTTTAATCCTCAGCACCATATAAAAATAAATAAAGGTATTGTGTCCAACTGCAACTAAAAAAAAATATTAAATAAAAATAAAATAAAATAAATAGAATAAAAATCAGAAGTCCAAGACTTAGTAAAAAAAAAATTTTGTTTATTTCTTGATTGAACCCACCAGGGGTGCTTTACCACTGAGGTACATTCCCAGTCCTTTTAAACTTTTATTTTAAGACAGGGTCTTTCTAAGTTGCTGAGGCTGGCCTCGAATTTATAATTCTCCTGTCTCAGCCTCCAGAATGGCTGGGATTACACATATATACCACCACACTTGGCAAAAAGTAAAATATCTTGATTCATTTTTTTATATTGATTACCTATTAAAAAGGCAACATTTTGTGTCAGGCTACCTAAAAATGTTAAAATCAATTTAACCTGTTTTCTTTGCTTATCTTAGTATGTTACTCAGAACTTTAAAATGACATACAGGGCCACATTATATTCAGACTGGGTAGCTTTGTTCTACAGGACTGAGCACAGCTCGGTAGAGAAGAGGTCCAAGTTCCATTAATGATGTCTGTCATGGGTGACATGGGGTGGCTGGTGAAATCTGCCAACTTGGATACGGGGAAACATAGTACCTTATTTTTCCTAGGACTGCTAGGACCAACCAAGGGGGTGGTTCCTATAGTCTCTGTCTCATGACCTTGGAAGTTCCAGGTTTTAAGGCCAGTTCCAGAAGGGCAAGGTAATGGGACTTTCGGTGGGAACAGGGCCTGCTGCTGGCAGATAAGGACTCCTGTGCATGGCCTGCTGCCAGGTGCTGGTCCTCTGCCTGAGCCTGAGCAGAGGGTTAGAGGAGGGGAGGAAGGAGAGGGTACTGTCCAGGGCAATGGGAACAGCATACGTTCTACATGAGCAAAGGCGCAGAAAGGTCCTCGGGGACAGCTCCCTGACTGCTGCATGTCATTGCACTTGGTGGATTTGTAGATCTGGAAGAGACAAAGCAGAGCAGAGACCAGTCAGACTCAGCCAAGAGTAAAAGGCAGGCTCCCCCTCCTTGAATAGGATAGACTAGCTTGGGCCTCTCTCCACCAATCTCTTATTCAAACTCCTGCACCTAGAAAGTACAGCCCTCTGTCACCCCCACTGCCACCAATGTCCTCCTTGGTCCATCCAGCCTCATGAAGGCACTGGCTCCACTCCTGATCTTGACCAGGGCTATGCTTTTAAGTATGCCAACACCTGAAGCAGCACACAGCCACTCCCAATGTGCCCTCTGCCTGGGTACCCTGGGTTGTGGTCTGTACTATCTCTAACCTCCCATTCTGCTGTCTACAGCAACATGAAGTCATCTCTGTCTCAGTGTCTCTCTCAAGGTGTCCTGGCTTCCACGGACCCAACGGCAGAGACAGCATGTGCCTCTTTGTTGCACAAGACATAGGAACAGGGCTGGGTTGTGGCTCAGCGATAGAGCACTGGCCTCTCACATGTGAGACCCTGGATTCGATCCTCAGCACCATATAAAAATAAATAACAATATAAAGACATTGTGCTCATATATAACTAAAAAATATTAAAAAAAAAAAAAAGACATAGGAACAGGGCTGGTGTAGCACAGTGGCAGAGCACTTGCCTGGCATGTGCAAGGCGCTGGGTTCGATCCTTAGCACCATCTACACATAAAATAAAGGCATTCTGTTCATCTATAACTACAAAAAAATTTAAAAAAATAAAGTAAATCTAAAAAAAACCAAAACAAACAAACAAACAAACAAACAAAAAAACATAGGAACACTGACAAGGCCCAGGTGGGCAGGGGAACTGTGTTAGGGAGTTGCTGTCTCCTATTCTCTGATCTGGGGCAAGACAGCTAGAAGGGGCTTTTTCATTTTTTAAATCCTAGTATCACTGGATTATAATCACAATGAGTGGCATAAAGCCCAGAATGGCTAGGCCATCATACTTAGCCCATATCCCCCGTGTCAAGCAACCTCAGAAACAAACTAAAGTAGAAATCTGTAACAGGTGGATGGGCTCAGAACAAGAGAAGCAGCATGCTCAGGAGTCAGGCTTTTGCAGACTCTGCCTGGGGATCCCTCTATCAGGTTGGTACCAGCAGCTGCCTTCACCCTCTTTTGTCTCTTTCCTGGCTTCTGAAGGGATATGCTAACAATCCATGGTCCCTCAAAAGACTTCAGTCCCCAACCTAAGGACGCACCTCCGGGTGGAACTGCTGCTCTGTGCGGGTATGGCAATACTGGCAGGCATCTCCGTTCTCACACTTGCCGGGATCTCCCCACTCGTCCCCATGTTTGACATTTGGACAAGGAGACGACCTGGTCCAACAAAGGAAGGGTCAGATGGAGGAAAAAGATGATGAGATCAGGGCCTAGAAGGTGCCATTTGGATACCTGCTCTGGGCCCCTCTCTGGTATCCCTGCCTTACAGGGGCAGGTGCAGAAATGGAAAAGACCAACTGCAGAGTGAAGGCCTTACTAGTGCCAACAGCCAGGCTGATCCTCCAGCCCAGACCGGCTGCATCACCAAGGAGGGCCCTGTATGCTCCCCTTGGCTAGGAGCTGAGCCCACACCAGCCTGAGGAGAATTATGCCACAGCCATGACCACACTTCCCATACTGTGGCCTGGCCCTGCTCTAGCTCACACCCTGCAGGCCCAGAAATGGATGGGCCTCAAACTGATCAGGGTTTTTATTCATGCAAGAGCTGGTCTAGGCTCCCACTGTTCAGCCATTCATATTAGTCCCTCCCCTAAATCTGAGTCCTATGACCCTGTAATCCCCAGGACTGGCCTCCCCATCTTCCTGAGAGCCACAGTGGTAGCAGCCTCAGCCATGATCCCTTCCCTGCCACTCCTCCCTCCCGTGGCTGGCCTCCTGGGGCCAAAGGACCTGTATTTGTGCTTCCGGGGGCTCCGCCGCCGGTCCTTGCTGTTGTGGTAGTAGGGACAGGCATAGCCCTGGCGGCACAGCCGCGGGGGCTTCTTGCACGGCTCCGTCTTATAGTTCCCCAGCACATAAGCGGTCTCTGCACAGGGGGCCAGAGGGCAGGGGTCAGGGAGTGGAGCTGGAACACCCAAGAACAGGAGGAGTCGAGTGGAGGGAAGGAAAGGAGAAGCCACTGGAAAAGGGTAGTGGAGCTGAGGTTCCCATGAGAGGTATGAGCAGGCACCTCCTTACAGGCCATGGGCACACTGAAGAGGTCAAAGCCAAGGCTGAGAGTCCAATTAGCTAAGCAGGACACTATCCCTCACTGGAGACACTCACAACTCAAAGGGCTTAAAGGGCTCCCATTGAGTGTGGAGAACACATGCACGTGTACGTACATATGTGCATGAAAGCCTGAAGTATCTTGGGAACACGGTGTATCTGGAAAGTCCCTATAAGTGCCTTTTGAATCGCAGGTATGAGGGATGAGAGGGCAGGGTGGTTCCCAGAAGAGGTGGTAGCTTTGGTTGGAAAAGGTAGTAGGTAATTGTGAATTGAGCTCTTAGGGCAGCTATGGGCAGCAAAGGGGAGGGGGAAGAAGTCTTGCTGGAGGGAGCATGGCCACTTGTGTGGCGCCTATACCTTGCCAGCGAGGCTCCTCACTGAGGATTTTTTCTATCATTGCATGGCTTGCAGCCCCAGAAGACTGGCCTTCTATGCTGCTCTCTACTGTGGTCTGGCCATTCTGCAAGGCTTCCATGGCCTGGAGCTCCCTGGAAGAAGAAAGGAGAGGGTTGGGAAGAGGCATGAGAGCAGGAAACAGTACCATCCATTCTTTACAGTCACCACAAGTAGCCACCAGACCCCAGACCAGTATCTAGCCCACCTGATGTCATAGACAGGGGAGCGGAGGTCATGGGGCCCATGGGCAAAAGCACAGTGCAGGCCGTTCTTGGTGCAGTTGCCTTTTGAGTCGGTCTCGTGAATGCAGATTCCAGTTTTATAGTAACGAAGGTGGTACCTGCGCTCAGTGTCTCCTGTGGTCCTGTGCAGGAATGGGCACCTGGAACACAGTAATAGAAGTTACTCAGCTTTGCCCTTTGCAGCCTGGGCTGCTTTCCTCAACCCTACCCTTCCTCTAACCATTGAAATGTTGTCCCATGACTCAGAGGGGCAGTGACAGTTGCTCAAGGAGAAAGGCAACCTTGAGCTCTCCTGCTACCATGGCTCCATCACTTGAGTGCTATGGCCTGGATGGTCCAATAGACCTGGTATCCCTAAGCTGCCTGCAGAACAAACACTGCCCAGACTAGGGAATCTCAGAGAAATAATCAATCTTTGAGGCAGCCCCTCACATCCTGAGTGCTTCAACAGGCCCAGAAGAGGGACAACAAGCCTCCGACCTTTGTGAGAAAGAGAGACTGAGAGGCAGGGATGGTATGGTAGGCTGTATCCCCCTGGTGCCTCCCATCAGTCTCTGCAAGTTGAGACATGACAAAGCACGGCCAGTGAATATTCCCTTTGGGGATATATTTGTCATTACTAATATCTTTCTTTTTCAATAAGAGGGATCAAACCCAAGGGTGCTCTACCAATGAACTACATCCCCAGGTCTCACTAAGTTGCTGAGGCTGGCTTCAAACTTGTGATCCTCCCGTTTTAGTTTCCTGAGTGGCTTGGAGTACAACCACGTGCCACCATGCCTGGCTAGCAGTGTACTGTTCCTTTAGAGAAATCCGTGGAATGTTTAGGGTAAACAAATCAGGGAACTAGAGAGGCTCTCTAAACTGCCAGCCCTGGTGAGAACTGTGCAAGATGTAATGGGTGGTGGAGGGATAGGGAGAAGATCTGTGAGATCTGCAGGGGAGGATGAAAGAAGACACTGGGAGCCATCTGGGTTTAAATGCGGCCCCTTAGGCCTATGGAAGATAGACCTATTTTGGATTTCTGTAAAGTAGGAAAAGAAAAACAGAAAGCTCTCCATCCCCTATACCCTCAGGATGGCAGAGTCTGAGCCCAGGTTTAAGATACAAGAAGGCAGGCTGGGTGCAGATACTTCTTCCCAAAGCAGCGTCTGACTGGTGTTACAGAATCTGCCTGGCCTAGTCTTAGGGCAGCTGACTGATGAGATCTGGAGCTCCTCTGAGGGCAGGCTGGGCACTCACTCGTCGCCCTCTGGACAGAGGCCTGTTGCCTCGTCGTACTTGGTGCAGTAGACGTCAGGACTATAGTTGAAGGTGCCGTCACGACGGCGAATGGACCGGCGGCGCCGCTGGTTCACGAAGTGCCAGTGGAAACAGGTGTAGGGCCGATGCTGCGTACATTTGTGTTGCACAAAGAGTGGGCACTGCTCCGTACGGAACTCCTTCAGGTACCTGTAGAGAGAGACTGTGTGGAACAGGCCGGAAGCAAAGAGTGCTTCCCAAAAGAAGTTAGCCGAGTCCCCTGAGGGCCCTGCTCTGGGGTGCCAGTTCATTAGCACACACCAGAAGAGGCCCAAGGCTGAGGTTGGACTTCAGCGTTTGGATCTGTTCCAACATCCAGGTCCCAAGTCAGCCTGGAAAGCAGGAACCATAGGCCACAGGGCCCTTGGCAGTTAGCTGGCTGTGATCCTGAGTAGCAGCTTGGGGAGCCCTCCCCAAAGTTTCCCAGGTTGAGCCACCAATCATAGGAAAGGGCTATACAAGAGAACTGTGGCAGCCTCTTCCACACTTCCTGCAGGTCCCTGCTGCCCACACCAATTAGCCAATTCCCGGAAGCCTCCCCTGTTCCACCAGCACGGCTGGTTTTAGGCACTAAGGGGAAGAATCTGCAGAAAAGCACATAGGGAAGGGCAGCTTTGGAACTGAAAGCCCGGATCAGAAGATGTCCCTCTGGACTACTGATTACTGTCCCAGAGATGTTTACTGGCACTGGCTGGGTAGGTGTTTAGGAAAAAGCTCACAGTGGCATTCTAAAGATACCCTCTCTCTCAGTCTGGCCTGTCCCTAGTAGTCTGACAAAGGAGGACCTGCAGCAGCTGAGGTCATGTACATCCTTGAGATTTATGGGCTGTCTGTCCACCTGGGTTCCTAGCATTTCATATAATTCTCCTCTGCCCAGTGTGTAAGACACCACCAAATCTCTCCCACTACCCACCCAGTGGAAGACCCCAGACCCGCTTACCCACTTACAGAAAATACTGTTCTTCTGTGTTCTTGTTCATTACCTATGATCAAGTTGGGTTTTTCTTAGACTGGGGGCCTTGCGAGGGGGTGATGAGTGTAGTTCCTGTTATTTATTCTCTCATGTCTAACAGGCCACATGTCTAAATGCCTTGAGAGGGTATTTGGTGCCAGTGAGGAAGATGGTTGCAGAAGACTCAGAGGTTGTGTGCAGAAGGGAGTGTGGCAGGAAGAACAGCCTCATAGGAATCTACTGCTTGGGCTCTGAGCAGAGCCTGGATCTGGAGGGCATGAAACAGCAACTCTTGTCCAGATCCTTGGGGCCTTACTATTCTGTCCAGAAGGAAGGGAAGGGTGGGCAGGTCCAGGACTGGGACTAATCAGGTAAGTTTTCTGTGCTGGGCACCATGGCATTAACCTGTAACAATCCCATGACTCAGGAGGCCGAGGCAGGAGGATCACAAGTTTGAGGCCAGCCTCAGCAATTTAGCAAGACCCTGTCTAAAAACAAAAAATAAAAAGAAGTTGGGCTGAGGATGTGGCTCAAGTGGTAGCGCGCTCGCCTGACATGTGTGCGGCCCAGGTTCGATCCTCAGCACCACATACAAACAAAGATGTTGTGTCCAACGAAAACTAAAATAAATAAATAAATATTAAAAAATTCTCTCTCTCTCTCACTCTCTCTTTAAAAATAAATAAATAAATAAAAAGAACTGAGGATGGGGCTGGGGGTATAGCTCAGTGGCAGAGTGCTTGCCTAGCATGTATGAGGCACTGGGTTTGATCCTCAGCTCTGCATATAAATAAATAAAGGTCCATCAACAACTAAAAAAATTTAAAAAGAAAAAAAAAACTGGGGATGTAGATCAGAAGTAAAGAGCACCTAGGTTCAATCTCCAATTAAAAAAAAAAAAAAAGTACTCCACTGAGCTACCCTAGTCCAATAGGTTTTCTTTGAAACTAATGAAAAGTACTGAAATTTTTCCCAGTCTTCAAGTGTGAAGTGTCTTATTTCTGTGCAAGGGGGCAGGCAGAGGGTTTGATGCTCCTGAGGAACACAGATAGCAAAGTAAGAGGTAGTGGAGACTCCAAAGCCCTGCCATTCATTCAGCACATATTTAATGGGCACTTCTTGGGTGTAGGCACAATGGTAAGCAAGGAGGACAATAAGGAGCAGGTTCTTGTCCTTTAGAAAGCTCACATTTTTATGGAACATGCACTCAAGTAAAAGGTGAAACCAATCAAGTGTGGAAAGAGTTATGAGGGCAGTTTGTTCAGGGTGCTTTGGGAACTCAAAAGGAGGATCCTCGACCCAGGCTGTAATGGGAAAGAGTAAGGAAAAGAGCAGAGCTAGTGTATAAAGAATTCAGGAAAGGTGTTTTAGGCAAAGGAAACAGTACGAGCTCAGAAACTGACTGCTTTCAAGAGTTCCAAATTCCTCTGTGGAATGTGGGTGAAGCAGAGGAACTGGAAAAGGGAAATGAGATAGAGGTGGGGTGCAGGAGGCAAACTTTAGGAATTTCAGGGGCCCTAGGGTATATTCTGAGACACTGGACAGAAATCTGGAAGGTTCCCTAAGGGCCTGATGCACTCCTGGCCTCTATGGCATTTGAATGAAAGGTCTTTCTTCTGTTTCCCTGTCCTTTTGATTAGACAGAAAAGCTGTGCCCTCATGCTGCATGTAGGTATCAAGTTCTGACCCCGAGTCAAGGCACACGTCCCCAAATTACTATTTCAATTCCTCTCCTGGCAAATACATATTCTTTTTGACTCTTTTGACCCTCTAGGAAACAAATTCAGGAGGTAACAGGTAGAAAACAGGGAAGAGAGGAACTTTCATGAGAAGAGGAAGCTGAATCCAAAGCCAGGAGCAGAGAATGAAGGGGTACTTAGGATTGGCAGATTAAGTACAGGATATCCAGTTAAACTGGAACTTCAGACAAAAGACGAATAATTTTCTAACATAAGTATGTCTCACATATTTCACAAGACATACTTAAGATATGATCTGGTAGCTCAGGAGACTGAGGCAGGAGGCCTGCAAATTCAAAGTCAGCTTCAGCAACTTAGCAAGGCCCTGTCTCAAAATAAAATATAAAAAGGGCTGAGGATGTGGCTTGATGGTTAAGTGTCCCTGGATTCAATCCCTGATGCTGTTTAAAAAAAAAAAAAAAAAAATCTGGGCTGAAGACATAGATCAGTGGTAGAGTGCTTTGTCTAGCAAATGTGAGGCCCTGCTCTGGTTATAATTCCTGGCAAAATACATAACCCCCCCACACACACACAAAGGGTGGGGCAGGTGGGTTGGGTTGATCCATTGCTTATCTGAAATTCCAAATCTAGCCACAGTCTGGATTTATTATTGTTGTTTTTGAGACAGGGTCTTGCTATATTGCTCAGGCAGGCCTGAACTCCTAGGACTCAAAGCAATCCTCCTGCCTCAGCCTCCCAAGAAACTGGAACTGCAGGAACACACCACCTTGTCTGCTAACTTCCTATATTTTTACTTATTGTACCCAGTAAAGTCAGTGTCAGTGTGCCTGTCAAAGAACAGGACAAGGGAAGAATCTAAGATGTGGTCCCTGATCTTGAGCAGTTTGTCCTCCTAAAAAAGAGGTCCCTGATGAGGCTGGGGTTGTGGCTCAGTGGTGGAGGGAGCACTTGCCTAGCATGTGAGGCACTGGGTTCAATCCTCAATACCACCCAAAAATAAATAAACAAGTGTCAGGCGCAGTGACACAAGCCTGTAATCCCAGCAGTTCCAGAGATTGAGAGAGGAGGATCGCAAGTTGAAAGAGGAGGATGGCAAGTTGAAAGCCAGTCCCAGCAACGGTAAAGCACTAAGCAATTCAGTAAGGCCCTGTTCTCTAAATAAAATACAAAATGGGGCTGGGGATGTTGAGTGCCTCTGAGTTCAATCCCTGGTACCCCCAAACAAACAAACAAACAAATAAATAAAAGGTGTTGTGTCCATCTACAACAAAAAAAATATTAAACAAGAGGTCCCTGAGGGCAACAGCGACACCTAGGGAGCCTGCTTACTTGCGGCATATGTCACAGTGCCACATGCAGTCAGGCTCCACAGGACTTTGTCAGAAATACCACAGATAAGGACAGACACTGAGGCAACATATTACCTTATTGTAAGCCTCTTTATTTCCATTCCCACTGCCACTGTCCCAGGTCAGTACCTTTTAAAAAACTGGTCTCCTGGTCTCTGGTCTCCCTTGTCCAGTGTGCACTGCACAGTGCTCATTATTCTTCCTAGAGTACAAATTTAATTCTATCATTAAAGCCTTCAGCCCCCTCCAGGATCCACTGAATACACACCAACTATTTAGCCTGAAGTTCCAGGCCCCACACGTCCAGCTCAATTCCCTTTTCCAGCATCATCTCCTTGGATTCCTCACCACCATCCAGCATGAATGGAACCTTGGTGTCTTGCAAGCAGACCTTTCATTTTCCTGCCTTTGCTCATGTCCCCTTGCTTGCCTATAGAAACCATTCAAGGCTGAATTTCGTGGTCACATATCTTCTGATGCTACCAACTCCGTGATGCCCTCCTGGACTTCTACCTAACTCCTTATCTCTAGCTAACGGCTATCACAGCACTTTTTCTTTTCTCCTTCCTTCCTTTTTATTTTTTATTTACAGACAGGGTCTTGCTAAGTTAAGAGGCTGTCCTCGAACTTGCAATTCTCCTGCCTCATCTTCACAATTACAGGCATGGGCCACCATGCAAGCTTCTTCAGACATTCTCATGGCCTCAATCCTGTTGTGAATATTAATAATGTAAACATTTTTCTTTGCAGGCTAAGCATCCTTCATCTGAAATGCATGAAACCAAAAGCATTTTAGATTTTTTGAATTTTGGAATATCTGTATATAATACATAAAGAGCTACTGAGGGATGGAAGCCAAATCTGAACACAAAATTTAGGTTTCATATACACCTTGAGATGCACACAAACTGAAGACAATTTTACAGAATATTTTCTGTGTCCCTATATTTTGACTGGAGTCCACCATGTGAAGTTAGGTGTGAAATTTTCCACTTGTGATGTGGGGTGCTCAATGCTCAAAAAAACTTTATACTACTAGATTATATATTCCTTAATAGCAAGCTTGTATAAACCTACTGTAATGCCTTTGATAAGACAGGGTAAAGAAAGTTTGCTGAATTAATGTATCAAGGAATAAAGTCACAAAGT